GGGTTTTTTTATCCCGCATTTTTGTTTACGGTTTTTAACAACACGTGTCCTTCGTTACCAGACGAGTAATTTCATCTGTGACATCGCTATAGTTCCAAGTAATGCAAATCAAATCAGGCCTACTTAACATAGAAATTACTCAGCTGTTTATTGATATTAATTGTTTTAAAAAATATAAACGATAGTTTATAAAATTTAATCAAAACAGTGAGCAGTCACCAACTACTTTCGCAATAATGATTTACGTTCCAGTGAAAAATAATGCTGATATTTACTCTTTTTGACACAAAAATAACACAAGTTAAATTATATTATTTGCAATTAAAATAGGTTGGGTCGTTATAAAAAATATTCAGCTTTCTATTGCTGCTAATTTAAAAAAGATCGGTCAAATACTTTTGGAGTGAGGTGGTTCACATACATGTGGGTTTTTTTATCCCGCATTTTTGTCTATCGACGCCAACCACAATACTCTGAACCACGCGTTACATCGCGTTTAAAAATAGAAAAATATACCCCAAAAACGAGACATCAATTAATATGATACCACAGATTTTATCAATTATAAGTAATACAATCAGAACACTTATCGCGATTGGTTTGTTTTCACGCCAACTTCTGTAATCTAACGAAGCGGTATCGACGCCATCTTGGTTTGTCAAAATTGAGATAGGCGGCGCTCGCTATCTGATCCTGAATCAGGGGGAGGTAAGTCTAGATTGCCGTGTCATAAAATTGGTAAGGCAAAGAGGGAGTTGCTAATCCCCTTCACTATACGTCCCTGATATAAGTTGATATGTGGTTTGTATTTTTAGTTTATTTTATTCATATCACTGAATAAAAAGAAATTGTTTGAAGAACCTGCTGCTATAAACAAATGTTACCCACTGTTTTAGACCATGTCAACTGTACTGCATATTATAATAAACCTGGATTAGAAGATTTATAATCATATATGAATTAATTATGCTTGTAAGGGCAAAGACCTTCAATTTCACTTACTTGTCGAGACTGATTTTGGGTAGATTCTTTTTCTCTGGAGATTCTGTTCTTTTATTCTTCTTTTTGCCTGGTATAATATCTTCCTCTTTTTTTCCTCCTTGAAGAAATATTTTCAATATCTATGAACTTTAACACTAACCCTGTATGTATATGTGCATCTTTATTTGTGCTTTATGAAAGGGTATTTACATATGTAAATCATGAAATATGACCTATATGAACATCTATATTCTGAACATAATATTATTCGTCGCATGAAGAGATTGAATTTGAAAATGACTCCTGACAAATTCCTTATTTAGTCATGACCCCTATGACCCTGAATGAATAAGTCTGATTTGACAGGATTTGTCACAGATACTTGCTGACATGAGTCAACAATGTACTGACTGACCTTGGGTAGCTGGGAAGGTCTGTCGGAGTTTGCGACACAAAGTGTTCACTTCCTGTTGACCAGTGACAAAGACCAGGATACCTCCTTCAGGTAACTTGCGATGTATTTTGCACACCTGTCAACACACAAATTGTTAATTAACCTGTGGAAAAACTAATATTATACCAATTACCAAATCTAAAAATACCATAAAATGTTTTGTGGGCAACTGAGTTTCATATGTATATACATAATGTATATAATACACATACATATGGGCTGTTGGATTGGGGATCTGTTCCTCGCCCCTGTGGTACCAATGTATATGCAATCTTATGAGTAACTACCTGGTATATATTTCATCATTTTTGCAGTGTAAATTTGAATTTCTCAGAAACTTACTTTTTTGTATGCCTCATTAAGGTAGGTATTATCCAATGGCGTTCTCTTGTTAAAGTGTATCGTTACAGGAAACTGCCGAGAATCCACCTACAAAGGTCAACAAAGTTCAGTGTCTATTAAACTTCCTAGAATATCAAATGACAATAATCATAAAATGTCTGAACCAAAATATTAACAAGAAATATTTGTAGATAACATTTGACATTAAAAGTTGTCCAAAGTAGTAGATCTTACCATTCCTGACACTTCAAAATACAAAAAACGTATATCTGAAATCATTTTTCTTCAAGTATTGAATAAAGGAAGATTTCTAAACAAAATTAGTTCAGTTTCTGGTTTCAGCAATTAAACCATATATCTTTTATCATTTGGAGGTTTCATCATGCTTCCAAGATGCAAATGCACTATACCAGTTTTGGGGTTCATCAAAATAAAGATATCTACTTAAATTTTCATATGAATACATGTACAAAAAATGTTTATAAAATACCTTCACAACAGGAGGGGTAACTCTGAAAAGTCTAGCATTATCTGTAAAGTCTTCCACTCGCAGCGTCGCTGACATAATTATCAATTTTAGGGGAGATCCTTTCTGAAAAAATAATGAGATAAAATATTAAAAAAATAAAAATTATTTCTAAGATAGCACAAATTCTAATGCATAAAACACCACACAAAACATACAATCACGACAGTTTTGTGAATTCAATTGTTAAAATCTTAATTAAATATGCACAAAACTTAAATTATTTACTTCTAAAATATGAAATATTTAACATATATCTACCTACCAAAAAGATATTTTGAGACGTCCCACTCAACATCCATTTATCATCTTTGGACGAATTGATGTGTCATTTTTTCCCAGTTAAAGCATCTTTCTTCACATTTCAGTTTTCCGAGGATATTGTAATCTCTTTTTTATTGTTACACACACACACAGTATCATTGGTCAGCGATGTGGTCATTGTGAATTCTGCCTACGGCCTACATGTATGCTAGCCGAGGGGATTAGTGGTTTCAAATATAAGTTATATCCTATCATACTAATTTTCTATTTCTGTTTTTATGTAATGTGAGAGTTCTGTGATATAAGGAGTGGATAGGATTGCTCCGAAAATTTGACAACCTCATATTGTCTTTCACTATTTGACTTACTAAGTTCCTTGTCCCAATCTGATTAAAATCATCTGTTACATGGCTCCGCCTGAACATCTGAATGTGCCGCGGTCAGGGTCACGTTCAAGTGACCTTTAGATGAACCAATCAGAGGCGAGCTGGCAAAAGTTTGCCAGCGAATCGGAATATCATGGTTGATTAATAAATAGCGAGGAGTATCGAACAGATTAGTTTCCAAAACGAATATGGCGGCGGGAACTGACGTTTCTACAACGCCAAGGAAAACGTACCCATTGGGTAATAATTGCGTAGGCAACACCACCATACAGTCTTTCTTCTCTAATAAAGCTTCAATTTTTATTCTGTTCGGGTTTCAGACGATCTCAAATAACTTCAGAACTTTCGTATCATTCTCATCAATGTCCGACATATTTGTTACATCTCCGAGCGCCTTTTTGAAAGAGGGTCTCTGATTGGTCAAAATTTAATGAGTATTTATAAATATAAAGGTCACCTGAACGTGACCCTGACCGCGACACACTCAGATGTTCAGGCGTAGTACGGAGTTAACGAAGCCATGTAACATGTGATTTTAATCAGATTGTTCCTTGTCCCACATAAACATGCAATATTCATATTAAATACATGAAGCATTCAACAACAACAAACCCTACCTTGTGACTGAGAGGTACTATCCTTGACAGGAGACCTATCAGGATATCTGTGTACACACTGTGTTCGTGAGCCTCCTACCTTGTGACTGAGAGGTACTATACTGGACAGAAGACCTATCAGTGTACACACTGCGTTCGTGAACCTCCTACCTTGTGTCTGAGAGGTACTATACTGGACAGGAGACCTATCAGGATATCTGTGTACACACTGTGTTCGTGAACCTCTTACCTTGTGTCTGAGAGGTACTATCCTGGACAGAAGACCTATCAGGATATCTGTGTACACACTGTGTTCGTGAACCTCCTACCTTGTGTCTGAGAGGTACTATCCTGGACAGAAGACCTATCAGGATATCAGTGTACACACTGTGTTCGTGAACCTCCTACCTTGTGTCTGAGAGGTACTATCCTGGACAGAAGACCTATCAGGATATCAGTGTACACACTGTGTTCGTGAACCTCCTACCTTGTGTCTGAGAGGTACTATCCTGGACAGAAGACCTATCAGGATATCAGTGTACACACTGTGTTCGTGAACCTCCTACCTTGTGTCTGAGAGGTACTATCCTGGACAGAAGACCTATCAGGATATCAGTGTACACACTGTGTTCGTGAACCTCCTACCTTGTGTCTGAGAGGTACTATCCTGGACAGAAGACCTATCAGGATATCAGTGTACACACTGTGTTCGTGAACCTCCTACCTTGTGTCTGAGAGGTACTATCCTGGACAGAAGACCTATCAGGATATCAGTGTACACACTGTGTTCGTGAACCTCCTACCTTGTGTCTGAGAGGTACTATCCTGGACAGAAGACCTATCAGGATATCAGTGTACACACTGTGTTCGTGAACCTCCTACCTTGTGTCTGAGAGGTACTATCCTGGACAGAAGACCTATCAGGATATCAGTGTACACACTGTGTTCGTGAACCTCCTACCTTGTGTCTGAGAGGTACTATCCTGGACAGAAGACCTATCAGGATATCAGTGTACACACTGTGTTCGTGAACCTCCTACCTTGTGTCTGAGAGGTACTATCCTGGACAGAAGACCTATCAGGATATCAGTGTACACACTGTGTTCGTGAACCTCCTACCTTGTGTCTGAGAGGTACTATCCTGGACAGAAGACCTATCAGGATATCAGTGTACACACTGTGTTCGTGAACCTCCTACCTTGTGTCTGAGAGGTACTATCCTGGACAGAAGACCTATCAGGATATCAGTGTACACACTGTGTTCGTGAACCTCCTACCTTGTGTCTGAGAGGTACTATCCTGGACAGAAGACCTATCAGGATATCAGTGTACACACTGTGTTCGTGAACCTCCTACCTTGTGTCTGAGAGGTACTATCCTGGACAGAAGACCTATCAGGATATCAGTGTACACACTGTGTTCGTGAACCTCCTACCTTGTGTCTGAGAGGTACTATCCTGGACAGAAGACCTATCAGGATATCAGTGTACACACTGTGTTCGTGAACCTCCTACCTTGTGTCTGAGAGGTACTATCCTGGACAGAAGACCTATCAGGATATCAGTGTACACACTGTGTTCGTGAACCTCCTACCTTGTGTCTGAGAGGTACTATCCTGGACAGAAGACCTATCAGGATATCAGTGTACACACTGTGTTCGTGAACCTCCTACCTTGTGTCTGAGAGGTACTATCCTGGACAGAAGACCTATCAGGATATCAGTGTACACACTGTGTTCGTGAACCTCCTACCTTGTGTCTGAGAGGTACTATCCTGGACAGAAGACCTATCAGGATATCAGTGTACACACTGTGTTCGTGAACCTCCTACCTTGTGTCTGAGAGGTACTATCCTGGACAGAAGACCTATCAGGATATCAGTGTACACACTGCGTTCGTGAACCTCCAACCTTGTGTCTGAGAGGTACTATCCTGGACAGAAGACCTATCAGGATATCTGTGTACACACTGTGTTCGTGAACCTCCAACCTTGTGTCTGAGAGGTACTATCCTGGACAGAGGACCTATCAGGATATCAGTGTACACGCTGTGTTCGTGAACCTCCTACCTTGTGACCGAGAGGTACTATTCTGGACAGAAGGCCTATCAGGATATCAGTGAACACACTGTGTTTGTGAACCTCCTACCTTGTGTCTGAGAGGTACTATCCTGGACAGAGGACCTATGAGGATATCAGTGTACACGCTGTGTTCGTGAACCTCCTACCTTGTGTCTGAGTGGTACTATCCTTGACAGAAGACCTATCAGGATATATATGGGTACACACTGCGTTCGTGGAGCTCCAACTTTATGTCTGAGAGGTACTATCCTGGACAGAAGACCTATCAGGATATCAGTGTACACACTGCGTTCGTGACCCTCCAACCTTGTGTCTGAGAGGTACTATCCTGGACAGAGGACCTATCAGGATATCAGTGTACACACTGTGTTCGTGAACCTCCTACCTTGTGACTGAGAGGTATTATTCTGGACAGAAGGCCTATCAGGATATCAGTGAACACACTGTGTTCGTGAACCTCCAACCTTGTGTCCGAGAGGTACTATTCTGGACAGAAGGCCTATCAGGATATCAGTGTACACACTGTGTTCGTGAACCTCCTACCTTGTGACTGAGAGGTACTATTCTGGACAGAAGGCCTATCAGGATATCAGTGAACACACTGTGTTCGTGAACCTCCTACCTTGTGTCTGAGAGGTTTCTATCCTGGACAGAAGACCTATCAGGATATCAGTGAACACACTGTGTTCGTGAACCTCCAACCTTGTGTCCGAGAGGTACTATCCTGGACAGAAGACCTATCAGGATATCTGTACACACTGCATTCTTGAGCCACGTCTATAATTATCACACTGTACTTCGTCAGCTATAAACCCTACCTTGTGCCTGAGAGGTACTATCCTGGACAGGAGACCTATCAGGATATCTGTGTACACACTGCGTTCGTGAGCCTCGTCAATAATTATCACACTGTACTTCGTCAACAGGAAATCCTGTAACAAAAATTCAAATATTCTGATCCAACATAAAAAAAAAAAAGAAACATGGAGCAAAATTATCCAACTACATGCCAATCATTACTAAAGTCTTTTAAATAATGTGTTGTATGCTTTTAAAGTGTCATTACAATTTGAAAATTAAATCAGGAGTGGAGAAAACTTTTTAATTTATAATGATTGCAAAATAATTTTGTCAGTTTGGTACTAGTGTATACTTCTTTTAAACTGGGGTTATACACTGTGAATCATGATATCACAATGAAAATACACAAGGTGTGTGGTGTTTCGTCAAAGTATTGTGATGTAATTTCTTAAAAGTGAAAATTGACACAGAGGTCAGGGGTCATGTTATTGCTTCTTCAACATGTGACCCTATACCACCTTCAGTGGGTACATTTTGTTGGGTACCAAATGTAACAGGATAAAGAGACCGGGATTCAAACCTAGAACTCCCTGAACTCTAGACAGACGCTCTAAGCAGTTGAGCTGCCTGGTCACCAGCAATCCACCAAGTCATGTACTGCTACATTTATACTGACCTTTTGAACCTCTTTCAGTAGTACACCATCTGTCATGAACTTTATCTTTGTCTTTGGAGTAACATTTCCCTCATAACGGATCTGGTAGGAAACTTCACTGTGTTGACAGAGATAAGAAACAGAATGTTAGTATACTTACTGATATTGCTCAAGCTTGTAGTCTTACAAAACCGAATGTTAGTATACCAACTTATATTGCTAAAGCTTGGACAATACAGAAATTAGAATGTTGCTATAGTTGCTGTTATTGCTAAAGCTTGGAGTCTTACACTAACCACATATAACTATTGCATTACCGTACAAGTAAGTTATTTGGGGGATAATCCCTAGTCATGTGACCCTTACAGCTGGATGTACAGAGGCAAGGGGTCAGTTAAAACAATAATAAATTGACATACTATAACTGTTTGCCTTTTCACCTTTCACATGAAATAACTATATGTATGTTGTGTACAAATGTTCGTTGTCATGATAAATTCCCCCTCATTGGGGAAGGCGAAAAAGGCGAAATTTTAACTGCAGCAAAAATGTCCCGGTATACAGTATACAAATGCAATAACTCTCAAAAACTTACACCCAATGACACATTGTATGCACCTAGTGAGATATTACCTGGTTGTTAGGTTCATTTCCTTGCCGACCCTGTGAGACATACTGATGGCTGCCACCCTCCGCGGCTCTGTCACTCCAATAATACCTTCGCCACTACAAACATAACACAAAAGGGATATACGTTAGATTTGTACAGGTAATGGCAATAAACCCAAGCTTGGTATGCTTTGCTTATTTTTTGCCCAATACCATACATAATCATATGATATTAAAATTTTACTTTATACACAAACAATGTACATATTAAACATGTCACAACATTTCAAAACCGACTGGTCCCTTTGTCAAGTTTCGACTGTAACTTGTACAGGTAATGGCAATAAACCCAAGCTTGGTATGCTTTGCTTATTTTTTGCCCAATACCATACATAATCATATGATATTAAAATTTTACTTTATACACAAACAATGTACATATTAAACATGTCACAACATTTCAAAACCGACTGGTCCCTTTGTCAAGTTTCGACTCCACTGTGTGCAATGTTGCAACACGTTTAATACGTACATTGTTTGTGTATCAAGTAAAACTTGGATATAACATACATTTTGTATTTCCAAACTGATGTATCTTATTGACCATATTTGATTTTTTAGCTCTGGGTTGATATCCCCCTCTCATCCTATTTTACAGTACCTCGCAAATTACTGCAAAAATACAATAAAAGACATATCACCCGAAACACAGTATATGTTATTAGAAGCACATGACTCAGATATACTTACTGGGCATACCCAGCCTCGTACAGGAACTGAGGAACCTGAGTTGTCTTTCCTGATCCCGTCTCCCCACAAACTATCGTGACTTGACTATCATTAATTGTCTCCATCACCATTTGTTCCTCTGCCAAAATTGGTAGCTTCAGCCTGGCTTCCTAAGGAACACATTGTGGCAAGATTTAACATATATCAACATCATTTAAGAAATATGTTCTAAACTATTAGACAAGATTAACAAAGATTATTAAGTTAAATCTACATAATAGGTTGTGTAACTTAAGTAAGTACCAAGGGATGTTAATGTCACTAAGAGATACACTAGTGCTCCTATGCTGTTGCAACTTCAGTATATTATTTAAGCTTTGACTTGGCTATAACCATTTTGAAAATTTCCATAACAAAAGACTAGACTTATTAAATAATTCCAAAGTAGATGTAGGACACAAGGTTTCAATGCAGCCTACTAATGAACAAAATTCAATCTCGCTAGCTTTTCTTGAATTTTTACACAATTGTAGGAGATAAAAGTTTAATCAGTTAAAGAATTTTTCTGCCGAACCTACTGTATACTGGTAAATTTTTGCTGCAGTTTAATTTTCACACTACAAAATGAGCACAAATTTATCATTACAGCGAACATATGTAAACAACATACAGGATGTAATAAACACAGAAATTAAATGTGATGGGCAAATTTAATATTGGATGAAAATGGATTATACCATTGTAGGGGGAAAATATGATGGCAAAAAAATTCCCAGCATACAGTAGTATAATTAAAACTACATTGGGCTACATTCACGTATCCGGTTGAAACGGTTGAACCTGTAAAGAAAACGACAGGTACAGATTTGGACCGAGGCTGACCTCAGGAAAATTTGGTATGTGTAGATTGAGGGGTCCAGATGTACCTGACCGAAACTAAAATGCTGACTATTGCTAATTTGCGTTATTTCTTTCTTAAACAATGTCAAGTCACATGTAATTTTTAAGATACGTTATGTAATTTAGTGGACGCGTGAGAGAAGGGCATAATATTCTTGATACGTTGTTTTTTATTCTCCGAAACTGTGGACTTTTAGCTCTGCTTATAGAACGGTCCAAGTGAGTTCATTTATCGTGGAAAATTTCTGCGCCACACGTACCGTTTTAACCGGGATACGCGAATGTAGCCTAGTACTTTCTTCACAAGGCATGGGTGACAACTCAGTATCAAACTTGTTATATAAAAAGAATCATGTAAATACTATGTTTAGGATTCAGGAGACAATACAACAAGATTTTTTTCAAAACTATATGTGTACAAAATCTAATAGTATATATGCATCAGTTTAACTGTAAGAAAAATCTAAACAAAACAAAAATTTTAAAAATAAGATACACTGTACCTGAATATCTTTATCCCTGTTGACTGGAATGTTGACTGCTGGTTTGCTATTTTCTTTGTCTTCTTTATCTTTTTGTTCTGTTTTACTTTTTTCAATCTTTTCTTTGTCCTCTAACTCATTTTCCTTCTCTCCTGTCATACCTTTTTCACTCTTAGCTGCAATTGTTTCCAATTCATTTTTCACATCCTCATCATCTACCATAGTTTCTTCTTGCTCCTCATCTGTCGACATGTCTGATGTATCAATAGAACTCTCAGATGCATCACTGTCACCCCCCTCTGCATCACAGTTGTCTCCCCATTGACTATATTTTGTCTTTTTATTGCTACCAGCTACAACATTGATTTTGGAATCAGCATCCAGTTTCTTTTGTTTGGTCTCTGTTTCTCTGTTTTAACGAAAGAATTTTTTTTTAAAATGACGTCTCTCATCTTCCAAATTACCTGTAGCAGCAACCTTACTCAACATGCCCTTTTCGGTAAAACAAACTTAAAATTTCCTGTTTCACCTAAAAGATAAAAGTCTTATTTGCTCAAATGTACGTAGTGTATCATGCCTCATTTGTTATGATAAGTTAAGACAGTTTCATGAAAACAAACCTGAAGCTGAAATTTAAGTACCAGCACTTAAATAAAAATGATGAAAAATTTCCAGATGTGCTATGTTTCAGAGTCGCAGGTGATTAAAAACAAGGCTAAATATTGCAAGGCAATCCATAGTCCCCCAGCAGTAATGATTTCTTTATTTACCAAGGTCAAAGGTCAAATCATAGGTATCAGTGACCTACTTTTTGTACTTTGTTATATGCCATCCCAAGATGTACTAGCATACCAAATCTGATTACTCGAGGTGATATGCCCGAGACAAACTCTTTAGACGGATGTAAATCTGTACCTTTTTAAATGTCCAGACTGCATAGCAGCAACTCCAACATATTGTAGCATTTCCTCTGGTTTTGCCTGCACTTTAGCCAGAGATTCCAATAAAGCAGCTCTCTGTAATGCATGAAATTAACAGGAAAATGTCATTGTTCGACTATCTGACTCAAAATAATTGCAGCAACTCTTCAGGTCCTTTTTAGACTGAACAGAGAAAATTTTAAGATGAATAAATCGAAAGTTCTTTTAAAATTTTGAAGATATCTATAATATGCAAAACTCAACTTGTTAAGCTGATATCAAAAACTGCAGCAATGAGTATCAGCTTATCAACAAAATGAAACTATAATGGCCACATTTTATCTAAAGATTTGTTTTTGTTGCCAGCAAAATAAACAGCTCACAGTACTGTAATGATCAGCATATATGGTACCTTGGCTTTCTTCTCTTTTTGCAGCAGGACATTTTGAAGGCGTTTTCTTTCCTTCTTACTAAGTTTTTTCACTGTCTGAATAGTTTCCGTTGTAGTCTTTGATTTCCTTTTTTCTGAAGGCAGTACCAACATATTGTCTTCATCATAGTCATCATCTTGGCCTAGAACAGTTGAGTCAAGCTTGATCTGAAATTAGAGAAACAAGTTTTATAATTCAGGAAATAATAATATCCATGTTGCTGGTTATTTACATAATATATATAATTGTACAAAGGATTATGGTTGCCTTTTAGTATCACACTATAGGAAACTTTCCTTTCGCTTAATCAGTTGAGCAGCAGACAGCTGGGAAGTTGCATGGGGATCACTGGATTAATCCCTGGTGGAAGCACACTATTCTCTTTCATTTATAAATGGTTTCCGACACCCTCCCTGCAATGACAAGGAGCTAAAACCTGGTTTGTTTAGGTACAAGGGGATTACGATCTCCTTCCAGCTTGCCGCTAAAACGACTTTCCTTTAAGCTTAATCAAAAGAGTATAGCGGACTGGGAAGCTGGGGTCACACACACTACTCTCCTTCCTGTTACATATGATTATCTTTAATATTCTTGATTACATGTGATCCAATATAACCTCATAGTGTAAATGTTTTTAATTAATATCTGATTTTAAATACATTGTAGATACATGTAAGTGTACTTTTTAATGGATATTTTTTACATCTCTTATGAGCATGTAATTTTTCCTGCAATAATTATTTCTAGCTTATGTACAACGTATCTTGTTAAATTCTATTTTGATGAGATTTTGCTTCTTTGATATTTCTAATATGTTCTGCAGAGCTAATGTTTCAAGTTTCATATATATATATACCACAAAAAGTCAAGTATCTTGTATCTTGTATACATGTATAATACAAAGATGATATTATAATACAATAGAAACTATGTAAAATTTGCTATAAGTGTCAAAACTGACATGATGTAAAGCTAATGGTATTCAAGATATTTATTGTTTCGAAACAAATGAATTAAACAAAAGGCAGTCTACTCCCATTCCAGTTACAGCATGATATGTAATACATAGAGATTTTAATACAGGGGTCACTATGTACAGGTGAAAGACTGATAGAGATTGATAAAGGGCTGTCACACTAGGTCCGCGTTCCCACGGCGTCCAAGAAAAAGCCAGAACGCCGATCTGCGCGCAGTGGAGTCGCAAGCATCGCCGCAGCAACACAGTGGCGTCGCACGAGAACGCGGTGGGATCGCATAGAACGCCGAGCGACGGTGCGCACTATGAGCATGCTCATAACAAACGCTGTCGCTCAGCATTCTTATAAGAGTGCAGTGATATCGCCGTAGCAGTACAGTTAGGTCTCCTACAATGCCACAGGATTGCCGCAGGCATACACAGAGGTCGCAGTGCGAACGCAATGGTTATCAGTAGCGCTTGCACAGCGATCGTGCGGCGTTCTCTGAGATGACACTGCTTCTCTACCACGCTTATACAGCGTTTCTACCGCGCTTATACAGCGCATCTACGGTGCTTACAAGGAGTTTTATTTTTCTTACAACGATTGTACGGAGCCGCCACGGCGATCATTGCGCTCCCAATGCGCTTCTACTGCGTCAATCGGTGTGACAATGAACCAACCCAACAAAATAGTATAAAGGAATGATATATGACAATAAACATTCATTTCACCATAACTGATGTGCAACTGGTGAGCATTTATCTTTCCCTACCTTCTTCACCTTTCTACCTCTTTTGGCGGGCATCATGGGTCTCAACTGTTCGAGAGTATTTAATGGAAGAAATGAGAACTAATGGAGATAACGTTTTTATCGGTAGTGCAAAACAACACACCGTCAGCGCAGTGAGAGTGCCGTGAAAGCGCAGTGCAAATGCAGTGTACGTGCCGTGACAAATCGATGCACGCAATGAAAGCGCCATGAGAGCGCACATCGCCAACTCCGTAGGAACGCGGTAGAACGCCATGGAGCTCCGTAGAAACGCCAAGGTCGCCGTGAGAAAGCCGTGACATTGCCATCTTCATGAAAAATATTTTTCATGCGATCTCACGGCGCTATGGGAAATTTAACAATGCTGTGCAATCGCAGTGGCAACGCGGCTAGGTGTGACAGGGGTTTTATGACTTATTTTGGGAATTACTACCGAATTGAATTATTTACTGAGGTTTGAAAATATCGAAACTGCCACCAACGATATATCATTGTACGTTATATGCAAGATCTGGTGTGAACAGGTGCTTGTAATCAGTAGTGTCAGTATGTTAAAGAAATGGGATCTAAACCCTTCAAAGTTCTGGTACAAACCTTTTTTTCTGCTGATCTGTCAACGACAGTTTCGTGTTGCTCCCTTGCTTTCCAATTGAATGCTCTTTTCTTTTTCCCCATTGTTATCTTTTTACTTAGATAAATCAAGTTGCATTTATTTTCGGCCTTTATTTTCTCTACTTTTGCGTCCACATGGTGTGCCTAACAACATCTCGGATAATACACAGGAAGTGATGCCACCTAAAAATATAGTGCGATATAAGGAGACTTTCATATACAGTAACATGCAGATTGCTTTCTTAATATTTACCTCTTATTAACAGTACACAGCTATGTTTACTTATAAAACAGACCGATGTTTATTTAAATCTGACTAAATAGTTTCAATTATTATTCAAATTAATACGCGTTTACTTCCGTTCTATTTCGTCGTCTGTTCCAAGATGGCGACTGTTGACGATGATGACTTATTGGAAGATGAACATTTGGAGTCATTACTTGAATTTCCAATCGAAGTGCAAGAAGCTATCGATCAGGTAGCACACAGCTGATCTTATACACTAATGGATATATTTTATATGTCTGTTTAATGGGCTGATACTCTGTAATCACCTATTGTATACCATTTGAGTACCTCCCACTTCTGTTTAACATGGAGGGGTAATTTTCACAAGCGCTGTGTGGCAGTCGGCATCATCAAATCCGATAAAATAAGGCCGACCAGTGGCCTCTTTCATTAGAAAGCATTATACAAAACTTCAAAGAATAGATAAAGCAAAGCACGTAGCTCATATATAAACAAAATATAAAACAAAAAGGGCAGTGCACATCTCAGCACATAGAATCAGAGGACAAGTGATTGGGCAACCCCTACCTACCAAGTCCTCAGATAATGAGCAATATTAAAAGCCCAATACAAACATAAAGCTGATAAAAACATACCATAATGCATCTGTCTGAAATCTCTTTGAAATGATTGAAATAGACATGGTATTATTCTGCACAGTGAAAATGTGTTAAAATGATCTAAACAATACATTGGATGTATAATAATGTACAGTAAAGTCACATGAAAGCTTGTAGGCTATTCTGAATTTAATTCTTTTGTGTGTATATGGCGTCATTTTACATTGACATAGGTTTTCACCGTTCTACAACTCAGATTTAACTTTTGACTATTTGACAGATGCTACCTAGTGATGACCCTCTGGACAAGACAGATTTCAACCCCATAGATTACATCAATACTCTGTTCCCTACAGAACAATCTTTAGCAAACATTGATGATGTTGTTGGGAAAATTAGACACAAGATCAGGTATGTGTTTGGAATGCACATTGTTGTTGTCAATATTCCTGTAATAACTACATGTACTACAGTTTAAAAGAACATATGTTGTAAGACACTGTCTGTCACAGCCATTATTAACCATGCTCAGTGTGGCATATTTTCATCATCTATTACATTTTATAATTGATTTCTCTTTGATTTTGATAAAAACAAAAATGTGAAAAAAAATGAATGACATTGACCATTTTTGTGTGTTTAATGGAATCTAAATTTAATGGGGAAATATATGATAAAAAACATTCTCAATGTAGCATCAGTTTTCATTATCTGTAACATTTTATAATTCATTTCTCTTTGACTTTGACAAATCAAAATTATAAAAGGCTCAGAAAAAAATGAATAATAATGACAAATTTTGTTTGTTTGAATGGAATCTAAATTCAATGGGGGAAGGTATGGGAAACATATTGGTTGTGCAAGGCCAGGTAGTTTTGGTGTTAAATGTAGTTTTCCATTGTGATTACAGGAGACTAGATGATGATATACGGACAGTTGTTAGAGGTCAGACCAACGTTGGGGAGGATGGTAAACTGGCCCTAGAGGAAGCACAGAAGGCCATACAGGAACTCTTCGCCAAAATCATCGATATAAAAGACAAGGCAGAGAAGTCGGAGGAAATGGTAAATAACCAGTAAGAAATGTGAAACTATCATGATGTTGTAAAATTCTTTTTTAAATTCAAAAAATTATATAAGTAGTTGGTTTTAGTAACTGGAAAATGTGCTTGTCTTTGTTAACTCCAAGGTTAAAAAAAAAAAAATCTGAATAGAAAATTATATAGATGAACTTTTATACTTGATCTGTTTCTGTTATATTTAGGTCAAAGAAATCACCAGAGATATAAAGCAGTTAGACCATGCGAAGAAAAACTTGACAGGATCCATAACAACTCTGAACCATTTACACATGTTGGTGGGAGGTGTTGATTCACTCACGTATGTACAGCAACAAGGATAAATCATTAGTCTAAGGCTTATTCCAAAATTCATTCAAATAAATTTTTCTAAAATCTGTAAAATAGCTAACTGATTGTTTATGAATAATTGTCCATATCTGAATGCTGTCTTGAGATTAACACCCTCATGTAAGATGTGCATTTTTTTCCTAAATCACAAAAAGGTGTTACCCAAAACATGGATTGGTCCCTGAATTAATTTCTTTAGAAATTCTGTTCCAAGTATTTTATACTGGTAATGGAACTTCTAAAGGTATTTTTCTATTGGTGCATTGTATAGTGTTTTTGTTTTGCTTTGCTTAATATCTCTAACTGGATTCGCTACAGGTCTCTAACAAGAAGAAGACAGTATGGAGAAGTGGCAAACCTGTTACAGGGTGTGCTCAATGTTCTTGACCACTTCCAGAAGTATATGAGCATTCCACAGATCAAACAACTGGCTGACAGGTACATTAACATTACAAAGATGGTGGCAATTTTTTTTAACTATTTTGACCTTGTCAAGTAAAATGTTCAATTATAGCTAAAAATAAATTTTGTATGACCTTTAAATATCTATTTATGCCTACCGTATTCGACAAAATTAATGCACCTAATCTAAGAAGGACGCAATGAAAATATTTTAGAAATGAAAGTTTAAAAATGTTAAATTTCATAATTTTTCTATTCTGAAGTTTATAATTTCTTGAAATCATTTGGTTAGTACCGGTAATGAGAACTAGAAAACTTCTGCCACAAAAATAGAAAACAAAATGAAATAATACACCTGCTCCAATATGGATGCCATCAAGCTTGAAGAGATTTAAGTATAAAAGTTTTAAAAAAATATAAAATTTCATAATTTTTCTTTTCCAAAGTTTATTATTTCTCTAAATCATTGGGTTAGTTATGAGAACTAGACAACTTCTTCCATGGAAATAGAAAAAAAAATCTAATTAACCTGTGCCTGGCATCCCAATTATGCAGTATATATTTTTGAACATTCTATTTTGTAATTTTTATTTGAGAATATTGTGTAGTGCTGTATCAGCCATACCCATATCGGTATCACCTTAGCTTTTGTGAGACTGTTAAACCTCAAACAAACAAAAGCTGCATCACAGAATGACCTCTGACTTATATGGTCTTATTTCATTGTTATGTACAGAGTGAAACAGATCCAATCAGAGCTGGGGACACAAATACAGGCTGATTTTGAGGAGGCATTCCAGGGGGCTGGGGCTAAGGTAAGGCCAAGCAAAATTATATATATACACATATATCTTTGTGATGTTCTTTGAAAAAAAGGTAGATAGGATAGTCTGATATAGAACTATTTTCTATATTTGTTTTCAAAATTAAAGCTCTTAATACTACATATTAAGCAACTTATTAATTTTATTGCAAAATTTGGTGTCAGACCCATTCATACAAATTTGTGTTTATAAAATGTTTGAAGAAATAGGTCCTCCTGGTCTTTGTTATTGTACAATTTGTATTGTGATTTTGAAATCTTTTTTATTTTTTGTTTCTCTGATATAATATTTCTCTTTACAGTATGGTCCTGGGAACCAGCGTCAGTTAAAGGAGGCATGTTTTGTGGTCAGTGTTTTGGACAGTAAGGTGAAGAAGGATCTCCTAAGCTGGTTTGTCAAACTGCAGTTGTCTGAATACCTGGTATTGTTTGGGGAGAACCAAGATGTGAGTTATGAAGAAAGTTATTGTAATTATAACCTCATTCCAATAATTTGTTTTTAATTTGCTGTTTATATGTAGTTTAGCCTGTTTTGTTTATCACTTTCGAATTATTTAAGATCTGTTGGACTAGACTTATTCCTTTATAAATTAGGTACAGACCTTATCATCTTTACTTCTTTTCTTGTGAAAATTCAATGTCTGACATGTACAGGTCCACCAGGCTTTACCCTCAGACAGTTGGGGAGTGATTTGAAATATTTTCATATTCAGCCTAACAGAAAATGTCCTGGATCTAACAGAACAGTGCTGGTGTCAAAAAACACCTGTTACTTGTTTCATGAAAATCTGCTTTGCTTGCTAATTAATTACTTTAATAATAATAATTAGATAGGTATAAATAACATTTATACATGATGTAACGAAAAATAATAACTTGGAAAATTTTGGCCAGTCAAACTATCGCCTTCGCCAATAAAATTCATATCGCCCAGTTTTGATTTCTCCCTATGCATTTAATTACAACATGTATGTATATTAAGTTGCTAACTTATACTTACAGTCACTGATATGATAAATTCACATTACAGAGGGCAAAAAAGGCCAAAATAACACTGCTGTAAAAATACACATTAATGTACCACATCTTTGTTGTAGGTGGCTTGGCTGGACAAGATTGATAGACGCTATACATGGATCAAAAGAACTCTCGTAGACTTTGAGGAGAAGTTTGGCCATTTGTTTCCACCTGACTGGGAGGTCAGCGAAAGGATATGTGCAGAGTTCTGTGATATAACCAGGTAGTTGGACATTTTAAATACATTTTTGCTGAAAAAAAATCCCTACCATTTAATGTTACTTTCTTGCCTTTATCTGTCGTCACCCAATTGAATGTTGTTTAAGGAGGAAACTAGATTTTGAAACTACAAAAAAAAAATGCCAATATAGCATAACCCATGTCAATCCCATCCTGTAAAGTTCTGTAGATTTGGAGTCATCGCTCTAGCAAATTCATTTTTTAACAAATTTTCATCAATATTATCAAAAAAAACAGACAAGAAAAAAAACATTTGAATGAGTTCTCATTTCAAGGTTCCAATGTCAAGGCCAAAGTGTCCATAGAGATTTTTCAACCAATTCAGTGGCATTGTTTTAGCAGCTTCATTTCATAATGGATTTTGATCAAACTCTGTACAATGGTAAAGTGCTGTGTGAGAATGACTCAAATGAGTTTGCATTTCATGGCTATAACGTGGAGATAAAGGTCACTCTTACTATTTTTAGTATTTTGTCAAACAATAACACTAGTTTCCATTGGATTCATATATTACAGATATTTTGTAGTTTCTTTAATAATCTTTTTAATCCATTTGTCATTTTCTGCTCCCCAAAAAAAATATTCAGGAAGCATATAGTCATTGCTTTGTCTGTCTATTCATCCTTCCGACATGTTTGTTTTGGCCATAACTTCTCACTCACTGAAGATAGCTCTATGCAATTTAAGGGATATAATTATGTAGGATTGCAAGACAGTGTGTTGCGTACAACTATTGGGTTCCTTTGGGAAGGTCAAGGTCACACTTTATTCAAGTAATGGTGACCTTTTCGAGGAGCATATATATGCCATCAGTTTTACTGATTTTCTTGTTGATATTTGTTGACCTTGATTGCCAGATTAACAATTGAATTGTGGGCTTTTGTACACTCGATAGCTGCATTTAAATGGTTCATATGATAGAACCTATTACCTGTAAAAAGTCTCTTTGATATACTACAGGAAAAGACTTACAAAACCTGACTACTTTATTGTAAATGTTTTACATGAATGTTTGTTAGAACACCTACCTATAACTACATGTGTACCACAGGAGAGAACTCGGTAATATTATGGCTAAGAGACGGGCGGAGATTGATGTCAAACTGCTGCTGTTTGCCATACAGAGGACCACCAACTTTGAGGCCCTGATAGCTAAGAGATTCACAGGGGTAACACTACAGGAGGGTCAGCCTAAACCGGTGGTGAGACCCTCCTCTCCACCATCCATTCCCTTTGAGGAGTCCAGCAACCCATTCGAAGGGGCTTCAGACGGGGAGACAACTCCTAGTGAAGAAAGCAAGGTACTACATTAGTTATATGGGTTATGTTTCAACATTTGATTATTATGAACTGTTGTAAATCTGGACTCATAAAGCTTATTATCCTTAAACACATACATGTAGAAATCCATATTCCAGACTACACCGCTGCATGTCCTTAAACCTTCCTGATATGAATTTCTAAATTATAGTTTGCATACTAATTTTGACACATGTGTTAGGTAACGCAGGTGTCTAGGGGATCAAGCATACTATGAAGTTTGCTTAATGTAGAATTGCACTTTCGAAAGTAGAAGTTTCAAATCCACATATTATTTGTATAGGATGTACTGTGGTTGAAATGATACTGTTCTGTGCGGAACACTTGTTGATATGTCAGATCATCATTATTAAAGAGTAAGTCTGAAAGAGAGGACTGTTTCTGATTTTTCTGTAGGTGGACCAGAAGCCCCAAATCCTGTCGCCCTTCAGCGGTATCATTTCAAGGTGTTTTGAGGCACACCTTAGTATCTACATTGAATCTCAAGACAGGTAAGGCTAATTATTCATGAGATGTTATTTTGGGTTTATAGTGTTCACTGTAACTTGCAAAAACAGCTTCAGTTTTATGTAAAGGAGAAAAAAAATTGCCAAATTATTACTTTCAAAATAACATCCACCTTTATGAATCTCTTAGACCTACAGTCCTTTGATTCTCTGTTTTGCTGACAAATCATCGTGTTCATTTTAAAAGCTATTTATGTTTAAATTTATAATCTTCCTGATATTGTACAGAAATTTAGCCGAGTTGATCAACCGGTTCCTGGAGGACCTGCGCCAGCATGGCACCCCACGTATGGAGTCAGAGGAAAGCAGTAATGTTTTACCCAGCTGTGCAGACCTTTTTGTGTTCTACAAGAAATGTATGGTTCAGTGCTCACAACTAAGTACTGGTCAGCCAATGCTTGACCTCACTCGGACATTCCAGAAATACCTCCGGGAGTATGCCCATAGAGTGCTACTCACCAACCTTCCAAAGTAAGTCCATAATAATTTAGTTATAGATCCCGGAAAAGAAGGGATTTGTATATATTTATATTCCACTGTGAAAATCTCCAGAGAACAAATATTAATACAACTATTGATTTTTATTTCTTTGTGAAAAGATTGCTAAATATATGGAAGTACCGGTAAGTGGAGTTTTTGCCTAAAAGCTTGAAAATTCTTTTTCAAACTTTTACTGTGAAAATCTTTGATCTTGCTACCCTAATAAGATTTAATATTTATGTAATCATTCTGCTTGCCATCATATACATATAAGACTATCTATATAAATGTAGATCTTGTAACGGTAACTATGGTTACAGGACCTGATGTATCTGTTAGTATCTAAGTGTGCATGTAGAGGTAAAACAAAATCAATAATACTGCTAAGTCACATTTTTGATGTCGTCATAGGTAATCGTATTATGTTTGTCATGGCATGTACTACGAATAATTGTCAAATGCCCACAGGCCACTGGTATGAAGGTACCATAATGTTTTACAGTACAGTACCCATCATTAACTTTGTTTCTTATTTCTCTTGTAACAGAATGGCGAGTCAGAACACAGGCATCAGTTCTGCATCAGGTTTAATACAGAGTATCCTCAAAGAGGGCGAGGTAACAAAGTTTACAGAGGAAGAGCAGTGTAGGGTGTGTAGCATTCTGTGTTCTGCCGAGTACTGCATGGAGACTTCACAACAGCTGGAGGAGAAGTTAAGAGAGAAGGTTAACAAGGAATTGTCCTTACAGATAGACCTTAACCCTGAACAGGATACCTTCCATAAGTAGGTGTAATGCAGGAGTGACCCACAGTTCTGTAGAAATTCATGGGCCCCTGTGGCGTCTCCGGTTCAACCGGTTTGTCTGTATTTAAATGTAACATTTTTGGGTATAAATCCAGGCGGACCTGCAAATGCTTATGCATGCCTTGGAAGGCTTTCCTGAAAGCAGCATCAGATTATTAGGTCTGACCTTATGTCATTAACCATCAACTCATGTTCAACTGTTTGGATCGTGATAAATGAATGTAGCCTTAATGTAGGTGAGAACCCTTAGTTATGTAGAAGATATTAGGAACCCTTTTTGTTCTGTTTAATGATAATATGCTTCAGCTGCAAATATATATTGTCTTAAAAGTTTCTAATTTTTGAGAGCTAATATGATTTCAAAGAGTAGGGAGATTTCAAACTAGTAACCTGATATGACCAGATTTCAACTTTTACATATTATTATAAAGTCATAATGCATGAATATTGAGTATTTACTGACATCAAAGATTTCTAGATGGGTGTTTCGGCTGGCTAGAATAAAACATGTTATGGTACCATTGTTGATGTAAATGTGTTACCTTTGTTGTAAAGTCTGCAAACAAAGCCTGTCCCTATATTATAAGCTGATGCTATTTTTTTATATATTTTTTGTTTACAGTGTAATTTCCAGCTGTATACAGGTATTAGTGCAAGATCTGGAGATTGCATGTGAGCCAGCTCTTGTAGCAATGAGCAAGGTAAGATACTTACACGTTGTACATACAGAGTGATCAAGGGTACATTAGATCTATTAGTGCAATCATCGTTTAGAGTTCCGACTCTTTCCTGCAGCAAATGTACCTCAGACAGAAAACATGTATGTCTATTGTTAGCACTACTACGCTTACTTAGCTAACCACAGATAGGACAAAAGGTGCTCAATTAAAGTAAGAATACTGCTAGAATAAGTATGTTCAATGTCACGTCATGTAACAGGGTCGGGGATGTGATGTTAGTGTTAACGATTTCTCTTTAAATATCTCGAGGAGTGAAATGTAACTAGAGTCTCTACCTTAAATAGCTAACATTCCTGAAAAGAAGAAAAACAGAGCTGCGAGTTAATAAGGATGTTAGAAGGGCTTTGTAAAGGCTGTAGCAGTTTTGATGTGAAGTCACCAAGCTTAACTAGTATCCCTTCTTTGCCTATCAGCCACTAGTATAGTGTATCACTCTTAATATTTTCTGTAAACAGACGGGAATATATACAGAATATCATGATTTACATCAGAGGTCACTTTCATAAAGAAATGAGCAAACAAATCAAGATGGCATCGATAGATTGCAAAATTACAAAAGATGACATTTTTAATGACATTGCCATAACTTTTAACTTGAAAATCTAGTCATGTCAGCATTATTGACTTAATCTGGTCACGATCAGAATGTGTAACAGCATTTCTGGCTTCCTAAACAGTGAGCAATATCCAATGTTGAAGAATCGGCCTATTGTATTAATATTTGGTGGTATTATAAGGTTTGTGCATTAACAATACGAGAACCAAAAATATCTCTTTCCCAATCAAAGTAACAAGTATTATGACAGCAGTTGTTTGTTACCTGTTGCTGCATTGGAATATCCAAAACATGACATGGGATAGTCATTTCTGAAATTTTTACTTCAGATCTGGTCATACTGCTGAATGTCTGGTGAAAACAATGACCAGATCAGGTTATAATTTTCTCCTGGTCATGAGCTGAAGTACCTGGAGTGTCCAGACTTGTTCCGGTCAGTTGACAGGTACATGTACTAGATAACTAATATGTGATATTTGATTATCTATCAGATGTCGTGGTCCACGATAGAGGCGGTGGGCGACCAGAGTGGATATGTGACTGCCCTCACCTCCCACCTCAAACACAACCTGCCAATCATCAGGGACAACCTGGCCGCCTCCCGCAAATACTTCACACAATTCTGTCTGAAATTTGCCAAGTAAGTGTCTGTTAGATCCAGTGATATTTTGTCTCAAAAATGTTGTTTCAATGTTACAAAGCTGATGACTTTTATCAGATACACAGTTATGTTGTATTTCTGATTACATATTATTATTTTAAAGTTTGCTTTTATTAGGATTTTCAAATAGTTTTTGAACTTTATATTTTACAGAATATAACGAGAATGTGATTATAGAGAAAATAAATCCTTTGCAAACGCAAATGTTGTACATAAAGTTTACAACATTTGAGCTACAAACGAGATGTTATTTTCTGTAGTGTGGTAACTTCAACCATGTGCAATGTATTCATGGGTTCATGGTGAGTGTGAGCGAACACTTTAGAGAAATGTTGATGACCGGTATCCGGATTTTGATTCCTGCAATACACAAATATGGGATTCAAAGAAATTGTGTTTATGCTATGAATCCAATGAACCTCCAAGACTACTGTGTTACAGGGTATTATTGTGTAACCCTTACAGAGTGTTACAGGGTATTATTGTGTAACCCTTACAGAGTGTTACAGGGTATTATTGTGTAACCCTTACAGAGTGTTACAGGGTATTATTGTGTAACCCTTACAGAGTGTTACAGGGTATTATTGTGTAACCCTTACAGAGTGTTACAGGGTATTATTGTGTAACCCTTACAGAGTGTTACAGGGTATTATTGTGTAACCCTTACAGAGTGTTACAGGGTATTATTGTGTAACCCTTACAGAGTGTTACAGGGTATTATTGTGTAACCCTTACAGAGTGTTACAGGGTATTATTGTGTAACCCTTACAGAGTGTTACAGGGTATTATTGTGTAACCCTTACAGAGTGTTACAGGGTATTATTGTGTAACTCTTACAGAATGTATTTGACTTTAACATATTTTTATTTTTCAGTACTTTTATTCCTAAATTCATCAACCATCTTTTCAAATGCAAAAATATCAGTACAGTAGCAGCAGAACAGGTAAGATACTGTATGATTCAATTGTGTACATTTTTTAGGGCCTATTCGTTTATGCAGAACAACCAGTTTGTCTGTTTATTTCGGGTATAAACCCTGGCGGACCTGCAAATGTTTATGCAGGCCTTGCAAGGCTTTGTCAACGATAGCCTGAAAGCCGCATCAAATTACTAGGTCTGACTTTATTTCATAAACGAACAACTCTGGTCCCACCGCTTTGATTCTGATAAACGAAAGTGGTCTAGGTAAATCATAGTTAACCTAATTGGATGAGTCAAGTACTACATAAACAAAAACTCAACCAGATGTCCCTCATATCTTATACAAATTATTCATTCAAGTTCTCCTCAAATGTAAACAGATACAATAATGCAGTCCCATGTTTAATAAATCTTCTTTTTTTCCTTAATATAAAAAATCTAATAAGTACTTTTTATTTTATTTTTTTATTTTTTTTTGGAAACAATAAATTCAGTTTACCTACGGTAAGCAGGTTTTCCCATATAACTGTCACTCTTAAAAACGATATTTTTATCAACAAAATATTTCAAGCCTATTTCCGTCAACTTGGTGAAGTCATTGTCTGTCCATGTTTGATTAACACTTTAATTTGAGTTGTAAACACTGTACCAGTTAATATTACTGTCATACCTGGAAATTGTCATGCCGTAATTTTTATTTTGTGAATTCTACAATTATGCACAGGTGAATACATGAATACCTGAACATATTAATCTTCAAGATGTATTCACTAGATAATTCATTATAATGTAGTTAGGACATATCACCTTTGTTTTATTACTGTAACTATTCATCTGGAAATAACTTGAAAATATCACATTGATTGCCCAATACAACAGTTTTTGATAGATTTCAGCAGAATCCCCTTCATGAATATTTATACATTCTGTATAATAGGAAAGACAAAAAGTTATCATTTGCATACACAAAAACTTCACTTTCATTACATATAAACTAGAACTTGTATATTTATACTTTATTAAACGTCGTTGATGTTGACAGTTGTTACTGGATACTCACTCCCTGAAGACAGTGTTACTAGATCTCCCCTCCCTAGGATCCCAGATCATCAGGAAGGCTCCAGCCAGGTCAGTATACAATGGTACCAGAACACTGCTCACATTCAGACTGTTGTCTTGTTAAATTCATAGAGCTCAACAGAACAGATAGTAGAGGCACCACAGTGTTACTCATATCTGTCCTGTCAGTCTCTCCCATTTCTCGTTTGAGGTCGTAACTATTGATTGAATCAAATGTCTTTCAAATATGGATGTATTGTGATTGAACTCTCATCATACCACACCCTGAGGTCAGATGTAGAGGTCAAAGGTGACATCTTGCAATTTTTGTGACAGTCTGTACCACAATGTCAAGGTCACAGTAATGGGGTTAAGGGTCAAATTATTGTATTGCTGGCCATAACTATAAATGGCTTCAAGCTAGAAGTAACCTTTGTATTCACCGTCTGCTGGATAACCGAAATACGCGGTAGTGAAGCAGACGTAAAACCTATCAATCAATCAATCAAGTAACCTTTTTTTGTGTATCTGCAATTCCTTTGTTTTGAATTTTCAGTTTCACAAAGATAGTGGTGAAAGGAATGACAAAGGCTGAGATGATGCTTAAGGTAGGATTTCTGTTGATATTCATGGCTGTACAATCTGTTTATAGTGGCTTCTGAAGCATCTCCTTTAATTGTGGTATCCTTCTCTTGTTTCAGTCTCTATATACAGATGTCTAGCATGCATCAAATTGTAAATTAACAGCTCTGAGTCTTATAAGCTGTTCTGGTAATGAAGGAAAAGATCTCTTTGGTTTGGATGGAAAACAATAATACATGAAACTCAATCCTCCAACCAAGAATCAATTCCCAATCATCAGTATGAAAGGCCAGGATCCAGGATCATGAAATGATCTTGAGTCCAAAATTGTCTTAAGTTCTGACTTTGCCAATCAAAAATAACGTCATGAAAAGTGACATCATACTTGATTGGCTAAAGCAAAATCCTGAGTCTAAGATTGTTTTGTGACCCCGAGGCCAGATATAGATACAGAAATTAAAAGTGAGTTAAAACAAAGAAGACAAGTGCAATCAAGTTGATTAATATATAATTTGAGTGTTTGTGAATAAATCAGTATTAACGTGAGGTTAATATTTCAGGTTGTGATGTCCCTCCATGATCCACCACAAGGATTCGTTGACAACTACATCAGACTACTTAGTGATTCAGATATCAATGAGTTTCAGAAAGTCTTGGAAATGAAGGTAAAGCTGTACCAGGGATATGTACTTACTATAATTCTGTCTTCACTTTGGCAACAATTTTTAAATTCCATGTATCATTTAGTAGTACATTTATTTAAAACATGCAAGAATTTATCGCTTTCTAACAAATTGCAAAAAGGTGCTAAAATGTAATTACTTGTGCTGCTACAAGATGTATTTTGAAGTATTACTAAATGAAGCAATAATGGATAATAATGGTTTCTCGGCCTTTGAACTACTATGAAAGCATCCACTATATTAAATTATCAAAACCGTTTTTAATTTGTTTTTCTCTCTCTAGGATCTACTAAATTCATTGTACAATAATTCAACTTGAACTCAATATAATGGATAATCTAAGAAAAATTTACAAGAGTAGACAGTACCAGCCATTGTTTTGGAAATCAGCTCAAATTTCAAATTAGATCATCAGTTCCTCTTAACTGATTATTAATCCATTGAAAAATGAATTGCAGACAATAAAAGGCACAGGGTTTGTCACCCGATTTCTCTTTGGCTAATCACTTACTAACATAAAGTTATGAATATTAAAGAGAGCCCATTATCCATGATGTAAACAGCACATGTTAAATTTGGTCATCATGACATAGTATACTTCAATCCTCCTGTAAAGTGCTAGGTAGACCAATATCTGTTGTGCTTGTTCTGTCATTTACTATTCAGAACCTGTTTGTTAAAAACCTGGGCCCCTTTCCAGTTCAAACAGTTGAAACGATTGAACATAGAAAGAAAACGACAGGCACAGATCTGAACCAAGGCTGACCTCAGGAATATTCGGCACATGTAGATTGAGGGGTCCAGACGTGCCCGACCGAAACTAAAATGCTGACTATTGCTAGTTTGCGTAATGTCAATCCACATGTAGTTTTTAAGTTACGTTATATAATTATATGAGATGCATGATTTTAAAGAAGGGCTCAATATTCTTGATACATTGTTATTTATTTTCGGAAATTGTGCATTTTTTTTGCTCTGCCTATGGTTCGGTCCAAGTGCCTTCATTCATTGTGGAATATTTCTGTGCCACCAGAACCGTTTCAACTGGGATACAAGAATGTAGCCCTATTAATTTTAAATAATGAGTTATTTTGTATTATCATTTTGGATCCCCACACATACAGCTTTAATTATAATTTTCTTTTGAAAAGATACAAGAATAAATATTTGAGAAAATTGTCCCTAAGCTTGAAAGGTTTTCAATTACTCGGATTCATGATCCACTTTATATGCTGGCTAAATACATTTTTGACCCAAAGCTGATAATGGAAATCTGTATTTGATTGGTCAGTCATTTGGTTAAGTAAACATTATTCAACAAAATGATTAATAGCATCTATGATATCATCTATAAAAAAATGAAATTAAAAAAAATTTCAAACAGTAATTTAAGATTGCATTATATTTTCACTTAACAGGGATTAAGAAGAGGCGACCAAAGTAATTTATTGGAGATCTATCGAGCCAGAATTCCTGTTTCCATGGCACTTGGGGGTCATTCAGAAATGTCGGTCACCTCTACACCAGAGCCGGAGTCTAGTCGTATTAAAAAGCTAGAGAAGCTCATCAAGAAAAGACTTTAACACAACGCTAGTGTTAAAACACATAATTTTGAAATTGTTGAGTCAAAGTGAGTCGGAGACAGCATCTTCAGATATTTTCAAAAGTGCTAGACCAAAACACACTCAGACCAGAAGAACGCTTTAATATGCTTTCAATGCCCATGGATACGTTCAGTAGGTAATGTGGTGAAAGTTAACTCATTCACCCCTGTAATTTCATCATGAACTTTTCAAGCATTTGAACTGGAAGAGTTCAAATGCGTCTTCAGGGGTGAATGAGTTAAACTATTTTGAACGCTGTAGCTATCATCGTCACGGATCATAGACATTTGTGAACTGATGTAATGTCAAAAGAGTGCAATAGGAGTTATATATTGGAGTTTATTGGTACATTGTACTGCTTGACCATGTAATGTAAATTGAAATAATATGGAGGTCTGCTTAGTGCTTTAACTATGTAGGGTAAACAATTTCAAGTTTACAGAGTTACAAATTATGTATTTAATGCTTCATCATGAATTGCGTCTTATATTATGGTAATAATTTTAGAGGTTTTCTCCAGGTTTGGACAATATCATGAACCCCACAAAACCTATACACTATAATTTGTAATTGGGAGATTTAAGTATACATATATAAAAAAAAAATGTATTATTATGTCTTCTGTGATAAAAGGGATAATGCATCCAGGTATTTTGTGATACATTGGGGTAAATATAAAAAGGTTAATTATCCCAAATTTCTACCTGTCAATTATGAACCCACAAGTAGACAAAAGTTGAAGTTCCCCAAAGTACTGGGGAGGATTTATGAATGAGGGACCAGATATGTATTTATGTCAGGACTATTTTAGAAATGAACATAAGGGGAAGGAATGGAGGAGGCCAGGGAGGCATACTCACCCCCACAACCACCAACAACTTCCTGTTATACATTACCTGCGAGATATACAAATATCGAAAATTTAAGTATTATAAGTATGTGAATCCCCCTGCCCCTCCCTCCAACCCCCATAAATTTATTATATCTGAAATAGTCGGCGTCATAAGCATGTTAAGATATTGAAATTAAATGTAACCTCATTGATTACAAAAGGTTGTGTGTGAAATTAAAGTTGAATGCGCATATATTCTCAAATAAAATATGGCAAAATGAGATTTTCACTCCCATTTTAGTTCAGTTGAAATGAAGGAAAATTCAGCTTGGGATGAAACGTGTATGCTGTAAAACTTCACTATATTGCCAAATTTTGTTTTTACCAAGGGGTTTTGGAGATTAATCAAGTGATATATAGGAATTGTTATAAGAAAATATGTTTGGGTTAATTGAGGCAGCAGTGAATTGAGGGACATTATATTGTGGCTTTACTGAATAGTTTCAGCAGTGCTGATATACTAGTAAAGATCTACATAGTGAATTTAACACCTAATGAATTTGGATAATTTGTTTTGGTGAAAATATTAGTGTGCAAGAATATGGTTCACTTTGCGCAAGCTTACATGTACAATGTATGTGTGGAGATAAGTTGACATCTATAGTTACCTTTTGATCTGTATATATATATATGCATCTGATAATGATAATAATAAAATGTATATAATTGACTGTAGTTAATAGTGTACATAGAAATACCAGGTATACTTTCCTGGTACCAATATTATCAGTGTTTGGGGCCTGTGATCCTTCCGTTTGTTAATTGTCATCTCCCAATCATGTCACCGATTCATCCGAGTTCTGAACACAACTTCCTTGCTATATGGAGGGAGCATATAGACAAACAAGTATTTTGTCTTTTAAGGTAGATCTGCAGTCAGTGTTTTTGCCAGAGATAAAAGTTGAGGGTAAAATCAAAATCAAGCATAAATCTTGTGTTTTAGCAAGCCTCTGTCATCTTTAGGGTCAAAATCCATTTTATATCCACTTATAGGGGTTAACAGAAACCCTATCCCTCAATGATTTATCATGATTTCTTTTAAATCATTAAATTAATTTCAAAAGAGTATAAAAAGTCAATAAAACACCTGACTACTCATATTCTATTTGAAGCCAGATGTCTTCAATATATAAACCCTCAGGTTTCAACAGAAGCTATTATGAAATATTTGCCTTACAACTGTGAATAAAATAAATTTCTTCGTCAAATTGGTGTAATAAGACATTTATATTTACTGGTAATATCTTTGTAATATTATTTAATCTAGATTGATGTCTTGTCTTCGTTGGAAAATTATTTAAATTTGTTGAAATATCTCGACAATAAATAAGATACTGTACCGTAAGTGACTATGCATCCTGAGCTGTACAAATTTGGTTATAAATCAGATGCTGTGAAAACAGCCATGTCGCTGACCTTGACATTATACAAGGTGGATCTACTTCAACTGTTTTTGTTTGTCATCAATAGATCAAGATATATGCAGTGCTGATCTGGCCAATTTACATTTGTATGCAGGACACAGATTTTTAAAGTACTTAATTATTTCATTACGAAATAGTATGTGGGTACACCATTTGTTAATTTATGATCTGTTGGAATTGTTATGTAAGAGATTTGATGATAAAGGTCCATGTTGTGTTATTTAAAAAGATGAAAGATATACAGTGAACAAAAATAAATAGGTATATGATGTATAAATTTGTTTTTGGTGTAATTTTTTCTCTGTGAATTGCTCTCGTCCTCCATTCTATTAATACTTTTTAGGATCTTTACTTCTGAACCATGGAACATCAAAACAATTAAATGAATTTATTGTTACCTTTCCACTACTATATCTGATAATCAATTGAAATAGTCTGATTTGTGTTTTGTTGATGGGAATCCTAGAAAGTGTAAACAAGAAGAAATTGTCGTAGGATACAAATAGATACAATGAAATGTCAAGGTCACGGTGGTCAAACTTTGATATATTCAATGGTGAACCACAAGTACCTATGGCGAGTGAAAACTACTTAATTAAATGTACTACTATTGTATAAGTATTTTTTATTTTCATTCGCAATAAGTACCCATGGTTGAACACTACTTAATACTATAAAGCAATAATTTGGGAATTAACACTATTTGATCCTTGGTGTTGGGCCAAGATAGACTTCTTCATGGTAAACTTGAGTAACAACATTTTGAAGTGCTGTAGTATTTTAGAGACCGACATAAAATGTTGCTTAATACAAGGTTTAAGATCAATGGTGAATTTCACGAAGATTGTGAAACATATTGCAACAGAGAGAGAGAAAAAATCAGTGCCATTGCTAGCTTTGATGCAGGTTAAAGGTAAAATTTTACATTACTTTCCAGAAAAACATATTATACATGTAATACAAATTATTCGTAAAGACAAATCTCCGAGCACCGCCTTGGAATCCCACCATATTTCATAAAACAAAAGTGGTCAAGAGATCTTTATGTCATTGCTTATTGCTTATAAAAATGTTAAACTATTACTGGTAAGTTGGAGTAGTAGAATTTGTCTAGATATGCCTGGACTCTTTAGGCTAGTTTCATTTCATTTTTCTGTGTCTGTTATAACTAAACAATGTGTCACAATGTGTACATAATAGTCTGCAACTCCAAGGCCAAGGCCACCAGAAGGGGTCAGATGTCAAAATCACTTGTTTTTCTTGACAATTTTTGAATTGCTAAATATCATTTTTTAGAGAGAAACTTAACAGATTAATGTAAAATTAAGAGGAACGGTAGTCTAGTGGCAAGACCCCGGGCGGCTCGTGACCGAAGGATTGTTGGGACGAATAACGTCACAGCACTGTTTTGTATAGATCTTTGAACAAGATACTTAACTCCGCTTGTTCCAGTCTACTCAGCTGTGAATAAGTATGGGTTGGACAGTGCTGGAATTGTTGAATGCTAGCTGTGAGCGCTGAAATGGCAGCACTGACAAGATATTGGCTGGTATCAAAAGCCCTATAAGCACGGATAATTTGTGAACTGCTTTGAGACAGCATACGAACTAGGTTGTCATAAAGCGGTATATAAGAACCTGGAATTATCGTTATTAATTATAAAATAACATGGTACACAGGTGTGTTATATCCTTTAGGTCAAGATGAAAGCAAAAGTTCAAAGATAAAATTCCAATGATGTTCAAGTGTATTGACAGCTATGACCAACTTATTTTCGCAACCAACCAACCCCACAAAAAACCCACAACAGAGGTTGGTAGTTTTTCTCTAATATTTTATGATTCTGATTTGAAAATTATGTCGATGGCAGATCTTTCTGGTCTAGTCACATGTGGATGCCACAGATCTACCATAAAGACAGCTCTCCACTGGTCTCCCTCGTGTACAACACTGTGAAGGTGGGAGTCATCAAATAGGAGACACTCCCCCCGCCTCCAATCACAGCAAGATCCAGCCACACACAGGTGGCAACTGCTGGGTGTCACTAAACCTACAAATGCAATAATTCATATTTTGTATTTTTCCTTCTTCTGAATAAAACCACATCCGAATTCAATAGTTAATTAGCACATGTAAAAAAAAATGTATTTTCATCACTGTAAATATCTTAGTAGATAATTATTTTGATGACCGTAATACTTTGTAATTTTCTTGCAGCCTAAGACACTTTGTTTTCCAAAAGTAAAATTGAGTTCAATTGAAAGTCATGGGAAAACATGATGAATCTAACTTTAATTGCATGGAATGGAACATCTACATATTACTCAACTGGACTTACAATAAAAAATATATTGCATGCAAACTAAATATGTCGGGGAAATTTCTAAAACTCAGTTTACAAATTTTGTAGTTAATTTTCTGTTTTTTTTTGTATTTTGCAAGAACGTATATAGAGGCTGTATTTCATACTTAAACAGTGGTTATTTAAAAATGGTCAAAAACATGATACATTGTACAAAATAAAATCTAGAGAAGACAGCAGAAAAGTGGATTTTTTTTTTTTTCCTTATTCAAAAAACTTTATATATAATTTGCAACTATCTGTTAAGTACATGTTTGTATAATTACTTCATATGATGGACAACTTTATTAATGTCTTAATAAAATACAACAGTAGGCAGAAAAGGGTGTTCATTGGTTTGCTTCAATATTTTTAAATAAAGTTTTCAGTAAACTTACCTAAATGACACCTCAGTCTGGTGTTTGTTGGGCCATAATGTTCTGTTATGACAGTTCCTGGTTCAATAACTGAGAAAGCCACATTTGCAAACACGTTTTTTGTCATGAGAGATTGAAGAGAGGAAGCAATATCAAATGTTTTTGGACACAAATCAACCATGTCTCTCTGCACTTTACCCTGATTTACCAAGTGTAGGACTTTCCATTGACCATTCGGAGTGCTGTTGACCTTCCAAAAAGCACGGGAGTCTGAATTCACTTGAAAGAATTCTTGACAAATTACGTTGAAATTATCTTCCAATATTTTTACATCAGTTGCAAAGTGAAAGCTGGAAGTCCACCATGGCATAGCTGTAAGGCCATGCAGATAGAATACTTCTGGTTTCTGCTCAGATCTTGTAGGAATATTGGTTTTGAATGAATTCTTTATCCGTTTTAAATCTTGATGTAAGTCTTGCTTGTCTGTGCTGTGTTGGCACAATTTTTCTAGGCGATCTGCAGCATCTGTCAAAACCTCATCATACAAGTTGCATCTGACACACCCAGGACTCTCACATTTCTTAAATTTTATACTTGAATCTGGTCTTGTCATCATCTTAAACACATTAAAATATTTAAGGAAATAAATGACAGATACCGTAAAAGTTATGAGTGCGATAATTATTCCCAAATGGTCCATTATGTGAAACATGCATGTACTTTCGAGATGTTAGTGGGTGTCCACCTATGGGCGCTGACATTTGTAAAATTGCATTATGGATGTCCTCTGTTGTTTTCTTTAGTTTGGGGTTGACACAAGAGAAACTCCGAATGGTTAGAAGTTAGTTGCTGTTAGTTACGGCTTTATACAACATGGCGACATCCATCGAAAGTAAAAAGTAGTCCCGTCAAAAACAGCGGATTGATATTTTTATGTAAAAAAAATCCAAAGTAAAGGTTCATTAGTAAGAAAATAAAAAATAAAATGACAAAACAGTAGATTATATATTTGTTTTTTATAATGTTATGAAGTCGCAACTCATTTATTCGTAGAAATACCTAATAAAATGGGGGTCTTTATTTGCGCATTGATATAAAAGTAGTAGTAATTTGACAGAAAAAGAATGAACGGTGCCCGCTGGAAATGAATCTTAATATTATTTAAAACTTTAATCTAGAAAGATGGATGATCCAAGATTCGAATGGATCGGTAAACAGGTATCGTTGGCACTGGACATTAAAGAAAATGATGTTTTTGAAGATCTCTTGGAAAGAGATGACGGAGAACAGGAACGTGAACTTGGAAAGTTCCTGAACGATACACCAGAAGAACATGAATCCTCGATTCTCTTCTATAAAATCATACGAGAAGAGGAGGAAGAAGTTGAAGTAGAATGCGGTAAATAATCTTATTGTATCTATTTAAACCAATCGAAATTTTGATGCTTGCAATATTTAGTAAGTGCTTGCCACGGATCATCTTGGCTTTTACTTATATATAGATTCATACTAAATTTATTTCTCTAAGTACCTAGATACCTGATACGTATAATATATAGAAAGAAACAACACGGACGTGCGCCGCAATCAAGTAAAGAAAACATCGTCACACGGCGACGATTATGTGTACACTAGACTAAATGTGTTAACACAGAAAAATAATATTGTTGTATACCACACAATGACAATGTAATTAAAATTACACCATTTTTGTTTCATTTCACTATTCTTATTTATTTCTAAAATTGAAATTCAATTATGTGTGTCGGCGTGAAGAAAATAACGTAATCTGTTTTTCGTTTTACAATGTACTTAAAAACAACACAAACACATTTTTTTAATAAAACTTATTTTAATGATATGTGAGACTAAGAAGACTTAATTTGTGACTTAAAACAAATAATAATGAAAAGAAAAATACCAAACAATGTTTCGCCCTGAAAAAATTGTTTTAGGGCGAAACAACCTGGCGCTAAACAACCTAGGGCGAACTGGATTTGGGGTGAAACAACCCGGAACCATATTTAACACCACAGGGGTTCGTTACAGATGTCTGAAATACACATATATGCTAAACTGATATGGATCACTGCACACTTACTAAGTGTAACAGGAGATGGGAAAATGCACAGCCTGACCAGGGTTCAAACCCAGGACCATGCGATATCTAGAAAGAGTTGCTCTACCAATTTGAGCTACTTAGTTGCTAGCCCAAGTTTCCTCTGGACCAAACACCAGACTTAAACATTTTGACATAAAGATGTCTGGTGTGGGGCCAAAGCGCACAGCTATATGAAAACATGGAATTCTCCGACACCGTTTGGTATCGGGGAATGACTAATCAACAAAGAGACAGAAATCTAGATAATTAACCCAGTCCAAATCCGCTACATTCCTCCCTCCTTTTTTAAGTCTTTGCCCCCAAAGACACTCATTTATAACCCAAGTTTTGTATGACCCCTTATACTGTACCAAGCATGCAATGCTTAAAACAAGGGTTAGTCCTGAGACCATCCAAAATCTAGATGGACGCTCTACCAATTGAGCTACCCAGGTTGCCAATGATTGACCTAGTCAAGGTTCACTACATTCAAATATTTAATCTTTTAGATGATACTTATAGTGTAAATTTTCCAAATTTAAGCCACACGGTCCTTTCAAACGTAATGAAAAAAAGCCCTGTAAGAGACATATAATACAGTTTGAGTGTCGGTGAAAACTTGCAGGAGCTCAGGTAAGGGACCAAGGGAAAATATGACAACACTGGACTGGATCAGCCACTTGTGCATTTTCTACTGTCAGCTATTCTATTACCAGTGAAAATTTGAAAACTTTGCAAATGTTTTGCAACTTTTTGATTTAGGAAGGGACTGGTAATCTCTAGCTTTGGAAATTATGGAAGAAAAATAACTGCATGATCATCATAATTATCTGTTATAGCATTTCTTTTTCAGGTATTTCTGATTTATCACTGATCTATATGTGCCTTTGTAGATTCAGATGACTCAGAATTGGATTGGTATAATACTGGTAACCAAAGCACCTGTGCAAGTCATTGATTTTTGCATTTTTTGTTCACATTCATTTTAGATTTGTCATTTGATTCAGTGTCACAAGATTGCTTTTAAACTTACAACATTCTTCAGGTTAAATGTGTGGTTTCTTTCTAGATCTGTTGTCATTAAAGAAATTGTCTGTGCAAGTGTTCCTTGTAAACTTTGAAAAATCTTTTTTTTAAACAAAACCAAAAACAATAGCCTTTTTAAAAACATCAAACTTTCTCATAGTAAACGAAAGAAAATGAAATAAAAAGGCAGTTTGACAAGACACATTTTATCCTATAAACAGAAAATTAAGAACAAACACACTTAATTGTAAATAAAAAGAAAGAATGAACAGTTGTAAAATATGTGAAAATGTCCAATGTCAAATTCAGGACTAATTCAATAGAGCATTGAAAGTAGGTTTTGACTCCCCAAAGTGAGGTAGCTTTAAATTTGACTCTTCGGTTTTAAAGAACATGTACCAGGTATGTCTTTCTGACTTACCATTTCAACTCTCCACCATACAGAATAAATTCTATTTCATCTTAAATTAATTGAAATTGCCACATTGGTCCATAGAATTAAAAAAAAAAAATGGAAATTAACGATTTTAGCCCATAAATACAATTGTATATAATGTTATTATACATTTACCTTGTAATAAACAGGTAATTTAATAATTATAAGGTAATGTTAATTTTCACTGTATTTAAATAATTAAGCTACTGATGATGAGTAATGAGCTCCTTGATTTTTTTTTTTTCGTGTCTTGCTTTCAATTAATGCTTGAATTTTTAATATGTTAATAGAGGTAAAGAATGCAACAATCATTCAAAAGACATTACCTTTTGTCATTTATACTGAAATGGATTGTGTACAAAAGTCAGATTTTCATTAGTATTGCAACATATTGATATTTATTGAATCAACCACTAAATATGTTATTAAAATACAATATTTGGATTCTTCTATATATATATATATTAACGTTATGTCAATTTCAAAACATAGTTAGTTAAAAATCATCAGTTCATGATAATATTTCATTCAAACTTTGATTATTTTATTTTTTTCATATCTATACATGCTAATAATTTCATAATCACAAATGGAGGATTAATGCCAAAATATTTCATTGTTGGATTTTAAACTTAACGTTCAATGTACCAAGACTGTATTTCTTCTGAATTAGTTGATTCAGTTTATTAAATCAGTTGGCTGTTCTCCAAAAACACAACAATCAGATCTTATTTGATAGTGTATCTGGACGTATTGCAGTAAAGTACATCAGACAGACATTTCAAGTTAGAATTGACACTTTGAATGTGTTTTTCTTTGTATTTAAGATTGTTATAACAATTAAGAATGCTTTTTATATCGCTTGCAAAAGCATGTGGGGAGCACTTTGTGTGTGTGGAGGGGGAGGGGGGAATGGTTGCATACTATACTAATCATCATACCGTATTTGATTTGAAGATTGTTTTTGTTAAGTTTACAGGTTCATCTTGAATGGTGTATTATGTGTAAGAATCTGCTGCAGTGTGCTTATATTTTATTAGGGTTAATTAAATAGTTATAATACTATCAAATTTGTATATAAATTTATGAATAACATGAAGTAATATTTTAAGGCCAAATAAAAACAAATAACATTTTTCTTGTTAAGGCTAATTACAAAAAATTAAAAGAGCATGCAGGTTGGTAAATATTTGTATTTTGCCATCTACCAGGTATTTTTGTGTCGCCTGCAATGCGAGGTGACATATATATATATAGGCCCTTGGGTTGATTGAACTCAAACTTGGTACACATACTGTATACCAATGTAGCTTAGACAAGTTTGCATTTCAGAAGTTTACATGTATTTTTTGTGGAGTTATGCCCCTTTTATCGCCAAATAAGGGCATTGTGTAGTAAATGCAAGAACTTTTTTCTTAATTATTCGATGCGTTTCAATTTTTTTACGGTAATGTTCGAGATTCAACTTTCCGCATTTTGTCATATCATACTTGACATGGCAACGCTGTTCATCGTTGTTCCGTAAAATTTTGCTTGTTTACGTGATAACTCAAGCTACTAAAAGTGCTGAGCAGGCGACACATCCACTCCTGTGGAATTCTTGTTTTTACATAGATTATATATAAAGATCAAAAATCCTGACTTTAAAATTTCTTGATGAAAACTTGCATAACATTCTGTAGTGCAGAGTTAGACCAAATTTAAGGTTAGGTAGGTACAATATGTTTTATGGAAAAAGGACCAGATATCTTTTATATTAGGTCTAAAGATTTGTGGGGTAGTGCTTATGAGGATTAATAATTATTTCAAACTTGGTATTTGTAAACATTTTGAAATAAGTTTCGTGTGTTTTGTAATCATGTTAATTCTATTACATTTTCTTCATTGTGTGGAATTTGTGATGTTAATGTTCAGTTGACGATTTATTTGTAGAGCCAGAAATCCCCAGCATTGAGGAGGAGGAAGAGGGTGCTGAGGGTGAAGGAGAACAGCAGACAGGTGACGGGGAGGGTGAGGGGGGAGACCAACCCCTCCCTGTCTCATCACCCACAGGTACAGGTGATGGAGAGGATCAAACACCCAGAAAGGGAACAGGTAAACAACGATGATGCTTTCAAAAACCTCTCCATATGGTTGAATTCATGAAATACTATAAGATAGAGCAAGCTAGGACAGATCATGGAATAAATCTATTTCTCTCATTTCCTTGTGTGTAAGATAGAGCTGTCCAGGGTAAGAAAGGGGTGTAGGAAATTTCTATCTTACACCCCATTTCACATTTATATAACGTGACGTCACAATGGCTCAACAATGACGTGACGTCACAAATTCTGATGCGGAAAAGGCGATGTGATGAAATTAAAACCTTTTACGATATATTTAACGTACACATTAGAAGGATGAGATTAATTTTTCTGCGCAAACATTGTTTGCAAATATGGGGTACGCTTAATCTAGCTGAATGATTCATGTTTTCATCTAAAAAGCTCGGGGGGGGGATAAATATTTTCAAAATGGTAGCAAGTTCAAACACATTTTCATGGTTTCTTAGCTTATTCTGGTAGTTGGAATGAGAGAAAAATACTCTTTCATGTCTAGGGGTATAGGATAGAGAAATTCCACCTTCAGGATTTTCAAATTTGGCAAAACCCTCAGCTTTACCAAATTTGAAAACCCCTCTGGTGAAATTTCACTATCCTACACCACTTGACATGAAAGAGTCTTATAATCCTTTGGCAGGAATGTTATATTGTGTTGAATGAAATAAAAATCAGGAGGACTATGATAATTGTATTGGTACTTCCACTACCTATATTAAACTTTGATTGGGAAAAATAATAAAGATTGAAGATTTTCTATTATAAATAGGTGACCACATTAAAATATTGTATAATGCCTTGTGCTACAGGAGTATAGATGGTGCAGATGCCCCACCCCTCAGTCAATTGTATGTGGTGTGTTGTGTATTACTAAAGCACACACACATATGTAATACAAATGTATACGGATTGTGAAGTTGAGATCTATGACATTACCTTGCCATGTGCCTTGTGCATTGCACTTATCTTCACAAAAATCTTTTTTTGTTCTTTTAACTGTTATACCACAATGTTCCACCGTTCAAATTAATGTTATCAGTGTATGCTTTTGAATATATTCACAAGTTTTGTTTTAATCATCCAGTAAGCTAATTAGTTACTGGTACATAATGATAAAACTTTGTAAACTTGAATACATCAGTTGAAACATATTATAATGAAGATGCATTTCTGAAAAGAATCCATGAATTGTTATCCTTGATGTTTATTTGTGTGGTAATATGTTGGCGAGTGTTTATGTTGACAATGTTATCGTTGACGTTTATTTGTGTGGTAATATGTTGGTGAGTGTTTATGTTGACAATGTATGTGTGTTGTTTATGTTGACAATGTATGTGTTGTTTATGTAGACAATGCATGTGTTGTTTATGTAGACAATGCATGTGTTGTTTATGTTGACAATGTATGTGTTGTTTATGTAGACAATGCATGTGTTGTTAATGTTGACAATGTATGTGTTGGGTAGGTTGACAATGCATGTGTTTTGTAGGTTGTTTGATGTATGTAAGTGTATGTATTGGTGTTATAGGTAAGAAAAAGAAGAAGGGCAAGGACACACCCACTAGTGATGAGCAAAAGGACGAAGATACCACCAAGACGCCAGTCCCTGAAGGAGAGTCTGCTGCGGACGGGGAAGAGCAGCAAGGCGAGGACGATGAACAAGACAACAAGATCCCTAAAACTGTGAGTCATGCTTTATGGAATGGTCTCATTTTATGATAATTTTACAGTCTACTCAGCTGTACAAATGGGACTTGCATACTAAACATTGATCCTATCCCAAAGGTTGTTCTTCCCGGCATGATCCTTTATAGCAGTAATGTCACTAGTTCCAGGATCTGTTCTCTTTACTCTACCTTTCATGGTGCACATTTTTTGAGGGATCTTACAGTAGAGCATTTGTTTCAATTAAAAAATGTCAGTATGGAATCTCTGCTGACTAGAACTGGGATGGGGAAGGGGTTGATGTTTTGTAAAGAATATGTACATCGCTCATAAAAGAAGAAATATGCAATATGTTCAATCATTTATGAACTTCATTTTCCTTTCTGTTATAATCTCCAGAAAATCATTAAGCAGAAAGTGATGCGTACCTACCTGTACATGTGTTACCAACATCTGCCTGAGGAGCTAGCCGACCAGGACTGTGTGTACTTTCTGAGAAACACTCCAGGCATGGTATTTCTCCCAAACAGCGCTGAAGAGGCAGACGAAACCCTGCCATCCTATTTTGAAATTGGCATCCTCAACGGACATTCTCTTGTCATGTTGGAACAGATTATTTCACAAGTAAGTTTAATTTTACCATTCAGTTCCTGCAATATTTTGAAAGATGAATGTATGTTATCAAAATGTCTGTTCTGAGGTCAAGAAGAGTATTGACATTGTTTGAACCATAGTTTTGCTATGAGCCAAGTTTTCTATTTTCGAGCAATCTTGGGCATTCTGTATCAGATATTAAATTTTTTAGATGTTGTCTCACTCTCTTCTCTTCTAGATATGAAAATATCGAACTTTCCCTTACAGAAATATTGAGTCTCTGGCACACTATTGCTGCGATATCGCCAGAATGTTCTGGTGCACTTGCTGCAATATAGCCGGAATGTTCTGGTGCAGTTGCAACGATATCGCTACAGGCTAGTGTTCTGGTGATATTGTGACTCACCCACTCTGCATGTCTTAGCAAGCAAGATTGAGATTACCACAATCAGAAATATATGACAATATTGCAGCAGGGTTGTTGAGTATATATATACATAGTTTAGATAATAATTCAGAGCTTATATTCAACAGAGATTTATTAGAAATTTTATTTAGTATTTGCTATTTTTCTTAAACAATTTAAAATAGTGTAGCATCTGTAGCAGAATTCAAAATGAATTTTGGAGATTAAACTTTCTCATTGAATAGCCATATGTCTTTGCACTATTGTGTTGCATTAAGAATTTAGCCTTTGCTAAGGCCCTCCAAATTTGATGTAAAAATATGCCTTCAGAATCTTGATGAAATGTTTTTTAATTCATGTTCATATTTGTCACAGGTTTACATGCCTCTACTGTCATACAATCAACAAAAGAACAGTGAGATGCGTAAAGAGGCCAGTCCACCCAGTCGTACAGACACACAGATGTCGGTGAAGACTGACGGTGAAGGGGACGCGGATGATTCCAAAGACAATGTCAATGTGGCCGAGTCTCGTGCCAAGGCTCTTTTGCGTGACGAGTTTCTAATCAACATGCAAAAGTTTGCTTCCAGTATTAACCGCACGATACAACAAATCGAGGGCGAGGTTCGTCTCGAGATTCCAGAGATCGAAATGAGTGACAATGTGGAGGAAGTGCTAGCTAATAATGACTTGATGCAGGTGATCAGAGACACTTGTGGTGACTGGGCCAAACGTATACGTGGCGCTCTGGAGACGCAGATGAAAAAGGTGCCATTAGGTAAAGGACCTCTGGCTGAAATTGATTTCTGGCGGGAGAGAAATGCCGCCCTGAGTGCACTTACAGAACAGTTGAAGATTCCTAAGGTGGCGCAGATGTTAGAAGTGTACAGTCATGTGGAGAACGACTTCGACGACATCAAAGTGGAACTCAATAAACTTTACGTTGAGGCTAAAGACAATGTCCGCTTCTTGTCCACACTAGAGCGTCACTTCAAAAACATTACCCATGGTGCCACATTCCAGGTTGTCATAGAAACGGTTCCTTCGATGATGAATGCCCTACGAATGGTGTGGATCATCTCCCGACATTACAATAAGGATGAACGTATGGTGCCCCTGATGGAGAGGATTGCATGGGAGCTTGCAGAGCGTGTGGCTCGTGTCATCAACATCAGGACTATATTTAAGTAAGTCAGATAATTTTTTTGAAAAAAATGTTCAAATTGACAAATTTCGAATTATCGAAGGAAATAAATTCTTATTCAAGAACATAACCTATTGTTTAATAGGTAACATTACTTTTAATGAAAGGAATTCCTTGCTCCATTCCAAATGATAACCAGTGCTGGAATATCTAATCAACTGGTCAAAATACAATTTAGAATATTCATACATCTTCTGCTCTACAGTCAGTAAGTTTATATACCGTATATATCTTATCAATAAGCCCATGCTTGGTAATAAGCCAACCCATATAAATTCCAGTTAGTAAGAAATGCCAACAAAAGCTTTGTCATTGTCATATAATAAGCCCATCCTCCTACTTTCAGGCAGAGATTATGTGTTGGCCGCCTGGGCCTATTACAGGATAACTATGGTACCTTAGGTGTTGATAAGCAGTTTTACAAAGGATTTCCAAATAATTATATAGCCTATACACATCAAAATAAATTTTCATTCATTTCATTGTGTTTTAATGGCAAATTTTAATCAGAACAATCTGTCTTTGAAAGTCACAATACTATACAAAAGGTAAGTGTGACAAAAGTTAATTTCTACAACTGTCTTATGTTACTTAGAGATGGAACTGAGGAGGTGAAGAGGAAGACCCAGGAGGCTAAAAAAATGTTACTAGTGTGGAAAGAGTCCTACTTCGATGTGAGGGCAAAGATTGAGGCGTCGGGTCGCGATCAACGTTGGGAGTTTGACAGACGAAGACTGTTTGAGAGAACAGACTACATGGCTAGCATCTGTCAAAATCTCTATGATGTCGCTGAGGTATGTACTCAAGAGTTAAAATATTGTACTGATGCTTTTGTAATGGTTATTTTAAAGGAAAATAGATTCTACGCAAATTCAATTTTCAACAAATAACTGTTAATTTTTTATCAATAAAATGTAGATATATTTTATGACATCTCACTATTAGTACACTTTAGAAACAGTAAAAGATCGTTAAGATCTTTGACTTTTGCACAATGAAGCTATCATCCATGGATATATTCCTGTTATCTTCCCTGTCCTCAATGTGTCCAAAAGGTAAAGGATGGCAACCTAGTGATGAATAGGTGTACATAAGTACTGCACAATTTCTTATTAAAAAAAATCATTTTCGATATATATATTTTTTTCTTTTTTTTCTTTTTTTCCCCTATATATCAAAAACCTAAATTGACTGTTAAGGTTAAATGATTAGCCTTGTTTTTTTCCTAGTTTATCCTCTTCATGAAATTATCGATGATGTTTTGAATGTTAACAGGTACTCGAGGAGTTCTACAATATCTTTGGACCAGAGCTGAAGGCGGTGACAGGAGACCCAAAGAGAATTGAGGAGGTGCTGATACGAGTGGATGCTTTGGTGAAACCCCTGGAAGAGGTAGGTTTATATAACTACAGTAAAAGTGTTATCTAAGGTTTAGTCCATACACAAACAATGTACATGTTAGACGTGTCTCAATGATTCAATACTGACTGGTCCCTTGCTCAAGCTAGGGCTGAAGCTAGACAATGGGACCAGTTGGTTTTGAAACGTTGCGACACATTTAACACCTTCTTTGATAATGCCTATTTCCAAACTGATGAATGTTTTAGAAGATACTGTGAAACTGAAAATTTTAGCGTTTTAGAAATGCTGACGATTGTCCATGTTTCGTAGATTAGCATGTAAACAGTCACATGTAAACAATCATATGTAAACATCCACACACACAATTTTTATTTATAGATTTCAGAAACATAGCCTAATGCGAAAATGTCCACACATGAAAATTTCCATTTTTTCGATATTTGATAATTTGAAATTTGAGACAGGACCAGTCATGTATATAGTCTATAACGAGGCTTATAGCATTTGATGTAATTTCATAGCACATATTTGACTTGTACATTTTGGTGCATTTTGTGTCAAATCTATCAATGATTTTCTTTTGATTCCTGTTGTACACAATTTTTACCGAGGTATACATTTATTTGTAACAACTTGTAATAAATTTAATGATCCATATGCATGTATATGCATGTGAAATCCTGAAGGAAAATAAAAACATTAAATTTTATTATGATGTGCGGTTCAGTACCCAGTCATACAGCAAGCTTTTATTAAAAGTTCAATAGTCAAATAAAAACCAGTAATACCACAGCATGAATTGAAATAGGCCGTTTATTATAAAAACGACGTAAAATAAAATCATGTATACAAAACATGTCACGTCGTTTCTTCCAAAAACAACGTAAAATAAAAACATGTATACACAACATGTAAAACATGCCACATCATACTGATCTGAATACATATAGGCATTATGCCTAATGAAAACAATTATGTGACTATTAAAGGAGGGGGGCAAAACCGCCACCTGGCTAATTGAGGGAGACCAGCATATGCTTGTACGTATAACCTGGCCTCACTAAATGCAGTCAACCCCCACCCGCAGCTGTATGACTTGACTATGCATGGTATAGGATTATATAACGTACACAATACTTGATAAATTATATTGAAATATACATATATTTATATTACATGTTTAATGACATAAATGTTGACATTAATATGGACTCCAAAGATTCACATAGTATGTTTTAGGTGGTCTCCTCTGACACCGTATACAATGTCTCTAGTGAATAACGTGGCAATATTCGTCATAACAGGCTTATAGCATTTGATGTAATTTCATAGCACATATTTGACTTGTACATTTTGGCGCATTTTGTGTCAAATCTATCAATGATTTTCTTTTGATTCCTGTTGTACACAATTTTTACCGAGGTATACATTTATTTGTAACAACTTGTAATAAATTTAATGATCCATATGCATGTATATGCATGTGAAATCCTGAAGGAAAATAAAAACATTAAATTTTATTATTGTTTGCAGGTCAGTTTTGATCCCTTTGTGATCAACTACAAAGGTTCTTGGAAGTCGGAGATCATGGACAAGTTTGACAAACAGGTGACATCCATTGATGGTGAGGCCATTATGTTTATCGACGAGTCCTTCCAGTCCCTGAGGTCTGCCGAGGGTGCCTTTGACATGCTCCAGAACTTCAAACACATCAGGTCTAGAGAGGCCATCAATGCTCAGATGATGCAGAAGTTCAAGGATATTCTAATACAATATGAAAAAGAGGTATGAAAACCCTTAATTCAATGTCAAAACATTTTGAAGATAACTTTTTAAGAACATTTCTTGTTAACATCTATGTGAATAAGTTCAATATCTTTTGTTCATAATTCCTGAAGATTTTATGTGTTTCTGTTTGTTCTACAAATAGCTGGAAGCATTTAGCACTTCCCATCTCCGTCTGTGACGATCATTTGTCTGTTTTTAAGTTTTAGATTTGATAACATCCAATATCATGAGCTAGGTTTTCAGTTAAAACAACAATAAATATGGCCTAATACAGTAATTATTAAAAAGAAAATGTTCTGACAAGTAAACGTAGCCGACCTAATATATGAAACCCTACACTAGTGCAAACAGAAGATGCTGGTTAAATGTCTAAGTCTTCACTAACTTTTAATCATTATTATTTTTCAACACAGGTTTCTGCTTTGGATGAGCTGTTCCAACAGCACCGTGAAAATCCACCGCTGCATAAAAACCATCCGTCCATAGCTGGCGCCATCTTCTGGGAGCGATCTCTGTTCCATCGTATTAAACATACCATTGTACGCTTCCTCACCATGGAAGACATGATGCAGAGTGAAATGGGCAAACACGTAAGTCTGTAATGGTTTCTCGTTCTCCTTTTATGGTTTGTAGGTTTAATGCTGTCTACAATGGTGTGACACAGATCCCAACCTCATGGTCAGAAATGGACTTCGGGCAGGAGATCTGTGCCACGCCCCTGTAATACACAACCTGACACATTTTCATGAACAAAAGAATTGCTTAAAAATGTTAGTTAAACCTTCTGAACATCTTGTTCTATGGTTTTCTACAGGCACGGGCGAAGTACCTGAGTGTGGCTAAACAGATGAAGCAGTACGAGGACCAGAAGTACGAAGCCTGGAAGGACAATGTAGAGCTCATCCTGCCGTCTCTACTTAAACGGAACTTGCTGGTCAAACCACACCACTCTCAGCTGACCCAGCAGGGCCATGATGACCGTGGCGAAGGAGGTAATAAATAATGACATTTCGATGTATGTTTGTACATTTTTGACAGTAACAATATAACCAGGTAGTAGCGCCACAATCTGCCCAGCAAAAAGGTGTTTGGTATTGTACTGAGGCAATCAGTATAGAAGAAACGGCAAAAAAGGTAAATCTGTGTATGTTAAGTGGTAAATAAAAGAGAGGCGTTTTATCAAGGTTTATTGACTATCTTTGCGGTGATTAACTTTGATCATGGTTGATCAACGAGATGAAATTTTATTTTCATGATTTAACAATAGAGTGATTTTTTTGCATTTCAAGAGTGTTTTTTTCTGAGTCAGCATTTTACAAAGAATCAAACTTTGTCTCCAATAGTCAGTGCAAATTTAATCCTCATCAAGACCATGTAATATATAGTTAGTTGATCATCACTTGGGGTGTATAATAAAAAGTCTTTTTGGGTAAATGACATTTAAACACTGAGATTCCTTTTGTGAGATTTTTAAGTTGACATAAATATCTTAATTAAAATACTTGATAATTTGACATATTTAACAAAAACTAGGGCTGTATAATAAAAACGTCTTATTAGGTAAATGACTTTAAATCCTTTTATTTTAGGATTTTTTATGTTTAAAAAAATCTAAATTAGAATACTGGATTAATTGACTCATTTAACAGACATTTAAACATAGATGATTCAGTAACTGTTTTCCTTGTGAGTGAATATCAACATCAATTTTCTGAGATCAAATTTCATTGCTGGTATCGTTGATCATGTAAATTTCATTTTAAGTATGAAGACCTGTTACTAGGTGATTGATTTGGAGTTTGACATGTTACTATCACATTGAAAATGTCGTCGAGTGAAACAGAAGTTGTAACCACAAAAACTGGGGGAAACCCATATATCCTTATATGACATAAATGTAATTTTCTGTTTATTATTCAACTTTTAACAAGCCTAGTCCTGGCACAGACATATATATTATACATGTATAGATATTTGACAAGAACTTTTATATATATATATAGCTACTATGCAATCATCCATATCTATGTACGTAGGCTTAATAAGTTCACATCTCTGGGCAAAAAGTCACCATGGCAACCAGAAATATCTAGTTGACCCCTAAAATGCCTGATTGGCAACTAAAATTATTTTTATTCTTTTAAAGTTCTGACATTTCTTAAAATATAAAAAACTACTTTAATACACTACCAACATCTAACTTTTCTCTCTGGTGACCTCAGGGGTGCCTGGTTTTAATAGTTCACCCTGAGCCCTGCACATATATATATAATAAATGATCCAGTGTTATATCGGGATTTTACCGTCTATATTACTTCTTTGACCCATATATAATATATAGATATATACACATTCACAATACACTTCCTCTAGATTCACCTGCTGCTTCATAACCTAACCAGAGCTTTTAGATTTCAGATTTTGCTTTAATGAAAAACAGTTTTTTTGCTTTAAATTGTTGAATTTGAAATTTACAGATTTGTTTTTCTTTTTTCATGAATTAGATTTAGCTATTAACATTTTGCATGTCCTTTTCTGTGATTAGTAAAGCTACCTAACACAGAAATCGTGGTAACAGGTACTGATAACACAAACCAACAACTGGTCCCCGGCCAGCCAACCAATCAGCAGCCAGAACAAGCACAGACCGACCAACCAGAGCAGGCTACCAATAATGGTAACCATGGTAACGGTGTGATGAGCACTAACACGTGTGACTCTACGTAGACTTGTAGCAATACGGCCAAACTGTGCGAGTGACCGTCTTTTTTGTTTTTCTATTGAACTGTATTATACTCTCTTCTGATGCACATTGTCACTGTTGAATTCTAAGTCATGTAAAAATAGATTTGGAAGCATTGAATGAGCAGTTCTGAAATTTAAAACAATTTTTACGAACCTACAAATAAAAAAATTAAATTAAAAAAATACCCTGGTGACAATATTCAAATGATTTACCTTCATTGCTTTTAATGAGATTTTATTAAATGCTGTGAAATAAATATCGACCAATTTGTTTTCTTTTTTTCTTTTTCAAATTGATTTTTAGGATACATGTTGTGCTTTCTTGTGCACTAAATATAGTGTAGAAATCAACAAGAAGTTCTTAGAATTATCAATAGAAAAAACAAACACCAATACATTTTTAGCATTTTCAAAGTACAGTAGTACTAATTATTTTGTTTTATTTATTTATTGTGGAAAAATCCATATCACTTTCTAAAGAACCCTATTTTTCCCTTTTACATAAAATGTGATGTGTTTACATGTTTCTAAAAAACATCTTTTTACTGAAATTATTACTACAGGTGGTAATGAATTGCTTTTGCGAGCTTTTTATTTGATTTGAATGAATTTAAATAATGCATATTTGATTTTGAAAATGTATTCATATTTTGAAAATTACACTTCAGCTTAAAATGTGTAGCCAAATGTTTGAAATCTTCCTTTTTTTTAAAATCTTTTGTGAAACCTTTAAGACTTGAGGGGGGAAAAAAGGAAAAGGTATTTTCTACACAGTCTGGCTGTTTGCTTTTGATTTCAGCCTACATACAGAGTCCACAGTTTGCTGTGCCCTCACCTTGGAGTATTGTTACAATCCAATAATGTCGTCCCAGTGTTAAACCAGTACCATAACCTCTCAGTGTTAAACCTGTACCATAACCTCTCTTTCAGACAGATTATCCAGACTCTGTATTTATTTGTTGAAGGCCAAACAAAAAAAATACTGTTTCCTCTTTTTTTTCTTCCTTATTTTTTTTAAACGATGCTGGTTATTGAAACAATATATTTTCTTAGGATATTTTTGATGACTATATTATTATATATTATATCTGGGTATATAATAAATACTGGTCTTTAAAATAATGTAATTATTTTCCAAGGATGTTGTAAAGACTAACATATGATACACTAAATGACATACCAGTGTATACAATAATTGTCCAATAAAATGTTTGTTTTTACTGTAGACATGTGAAGCAGTATTGTGTGCTACACAGGAAACAGATACATGTACTTTGTTTGGCCTATATATATATCTTGTTAACCTGAATTCAAATGGCAAAAAACCCGCATAAGAAATATTTATTTTTGAATTTCTGTTCTGTAAACTGTAGCAACAATATAAGCTATATTATGACCAATGTCACTGTCGTAAAATATTCGTTTAAGACCTTTCCAAATGAAAGATTTCCAAAAGTCACATATTGCCTTGCATTTGACAGAATTGTAGTTGTAAGAAATTTGAATGTTCGAAAATGGATCGAAATAAGCCTACATGTTATTGATGTGCCATACAGGAATTATACGAGCACAACATCAAAATGAGTGTCCAATTTATTGGCCACGAAGCACATAAAAAACTGACAGGGGAAGTTACTCTAATCCAGAAAAACTCCTTTTGATTGCTTTTGTCATCTTCTATATAGAGGGGATAACACTCATCAGCAGAAAACCTCTGATTGGAACTCTTCGCCACGATTAAAACTGATGCAGTAGTACCCTTTTCATTAGAATTATTTTACTTTGACCAAAGAAAAGCTATTTTTAATCAAATTTTATTGAAGCCAATGTGTCCTGTCTTATTACAGTTATGCCATTCAAATTATAAATATGAAATTAAGTTTTTGGTATGTTGGTACATGTATCAGGTTTACGCAGTAACACACCCGCTATGTTCTATAAATACATATCTATTATAAAAAAAAATCATATGAAAATCATTAATGGTATAAAATATATCAACTAATGTATATATTCATCTGTTTAAATTAAGTATCTGATTGGTGTTGTACACATTGTATATATATGTTCCTCAATGTTGAGAAGTGTGAGAATTTCAAAGCACTATTTTATATTATTTTCAGCTACCAATGAACAACGCTGTTCTTCAAATTTCACCATTCTGCTCTTAAAAAAACCACCCATCCATCATTTTCTATGTACTTTCTGTTTTGGTATATCTTACATGCTCTCCATTGAGTGTCACCACGTTAATATGTATACATCAACAAAATTCAGACCAAATTATACACACATTGTACTTTTCTTCAAAAAAAAATCTGAAAGAAAATGATATTTATTTTTTAATTACCAAAGAGCTGATTGGTGATAAATATTGAATTTGCAATGTTGTCCTACTTGTACCTTGCTGCATAACATGAAATATTCATTGTTTATAATCATTCATGGTTTTCGTTGTTGCTATGGAACCAAAAAAATAAATACAACAAATTTGATTGATATACTTAATAACTACTGTTTGATTAAATGGGGTTTCCATGAAAATTTGTGCTATGAAACGATCTTTAAATAGCTTCAAACTACGAAAGAAATGATCACGAATATTTCATGTTACATGTAATACCCGCTAGGCAAAATTGAATGCCCATATATGTAGCTACCCCAAACCCCACTGTTCCATAAATTCCTTTCTCCTGATTTTTGTGTTAAAACTTTATTGTATTAAGTTGATGTAGCATTTCAGAAACTATGTGGAACTACCATACGTTTTAATGCACTGGCACCAAGTTTGTGTACTTGTCTGCCAGTCTTCAACTTTTCTTTTAACTACTTCTTCAGAAGCATGAGGCATAGAGTCATTTTTATGTGGATTGTAGTTTGCTTGAAAAAGCATTAATTACTGAGATAAATGTGACATAGACACATATTAATGTAAATTTTGTAGATTGAAGTCAATATCAGTGAAATTCCGGTTTTGCGTATTGCAGAGTTATCTTCTCTTGTGAGCAGGTATTGATTATTACGTCATTGGTTTGTGTGAGAAAATTACGTTGTTTTCTCAAAAATTGATGACCTTACTCTCACAAACAAATGACGTAACAATCAATACCTGCTCACAAGAGAAGATAACTCTGCAATACGAAAAGACGGAATATTGGGAAAGTCAGTTATATATATATATAGTTTGAGATGGAAAATACTGGCAAATTTTCAGAATAGATATATAATAGAAATATGATTTAATTATCTATGTGACTGAAATTAGTCAGTGTAGAAACATGATGTAGATGTTGGTTAGATTTAGTTTTGAAAATAAATTAAAAGACTTTTTGGTGGTCATACAAAATATTTAGCTGATTTCTAGCTTTTTGTAGTGTATGACTTAGATTTTTAAAACTAGATATATAAAAGAAAAACAGAAAAGAGTATTCATAAATATATTTATACCCTATATGCTATAAATAAAAAAAGAAAAACTATAATATTTCATTTTGCTATCAAAATTATTGTTAAAATTGCAGATCATCAGATTCGTCATACATGTAATTCATAACACTACTCTGTTATATACATGTACTACATTCATACAAGCTGGGATTAATGATAAATCTAATGCTACCAAGTTTCAGATTTGAATGACAACTTTCTGGATTATGTAAGTCATGACTAGCATAATTATTTTTGTAAACATGCATGTGCCTGAGGTGTTTTTTTCTGTCTCAATTTGATTTTTTCGGCAGTTACTTTATTATTTATGTTGTTTTTCAGGAATTGAGATCAAGTACCTGGTGGACTATGACCCAATGTTAGGTGAAATTATCTCCGAGACAAAATACATGGAACAGTTGGGCTTCCCAGTCCCAGAGCTAGCCCGCAACGTGGCTCTCCAGGTCAGTACCTAGTGGCACCCTCGGATAAGTATGTTACAGGGTCAAATAAGGGCATGTGGCCTTAAAATTTAATTAACAGTGATTCCCTGTAAGGCAGAGATGCATGCAAGATCACTGAGTCTATACATAGATCAACAAAATTTCTCATCATGAACAATTAAATGTACATTGATTTTTTTTAAAGTTTAATTTTTAGTCTAGTTTACCAGTTTGTTAGAAAGAATTCAAAACATGTGGATACATGGAATCGAATTACAGGACAGTAAAAACCTAAGAACGCCATTTGACCACTTTAAGTAGAATCAACACTATGTATGACAGGTGTTCTCAACTTGACATTAGAGCAAGTGGTGTCACCGGTGTGATACACTCTTTTTGAGTGTATAGTCTTTACATGATAGTCTACCCAACTACAAAAATTGACACATATCTAAAAAGAATTATCATATTGTAAAGAAATATTTGTAGAATTTTTTAGATATAACATGTAACTATGGATAAAAAAAACAAAAGACTTATTTTGATGTAAATCTTCAAAAATCACTAAAGCAAAGCCTTTCATCTTGATGCCATATTTGGTCAAAGGTACCTGAAATTAAAAAATATGTAGAATGTAAACTCAGTATTAGTTACAATTAAAAGTTGGAATGTTCTTAATTGCATGACATATGTATTATGATGTATTACTTTTTGTCATACAGGAGGAGAAGTACATCAAGTATGTGGAGAAACTGAAGCATATGTTGGAACGCTACCACACACTTCTGTCCTCCCTCGACCCTGCAGAGGTAAGTACAATACCTACCACACACTTCTGTCCTCCCTCAACCCCGCAGAGGTAAGTACAATATCCACCACACACTTCTGTCCTCCCTCGACCCCGCAGAGGTAAGTACAATAGCTACCACACACTTCTGTCCTCCCTCGAACCCGCAGAGGTAAGTACAATACCTATCACACACTTCTGTCCTCCCTCGACCCTGCTGAGGTAAGTACAATACCTACCACACACTTATGTCCTCCCTCGACCCTGCAGATGTAAGTACAATACTTACCACACGCTTCTGTCCTCCCTCGACACTGCAGAGGTAAGTACAATACCTACCACACTCTTCTGTCCTCCCTCGACCCTGCAGAGGTAACTACAATACCTACCACACACTTCTGTCCGCCCTCGACCCCGCAGAGGTAAGTACAATGCCTACCACACACTTCTGTCCTCCCTCGAACCCGCAGAGGTAAGTACAATACCTATCACACACTTCTGTCCTCCCTCGACCCTTCAGAGGTAAGTACAATACCTACCACACGCTTCTGTCCTCCCTCGACACTGCAGAGGTAAGTACAATACCTACCACACAATTCTGTCCTCCCTCGACCCTTCAGAGGTAAGTACAATACCTACCACACAATTCTGTCCTCCCTCGACCCTTCAGAGGTAAGTACAATACCTACCACACACGTCTGTCCTCCCTCGACCCCGCAGAGGTACAGAGGTAAGCACAATACCTACCACACACTGTTGTCCTCCCTCGACCCTGCAGAGGTATTTCCTCGACCCCGCAGACGTAAGTACAATACCTACCACACACTTCTTTCCTCCCTCGACCCCGCAGAGGTAAGTCCAATACCTACCACACACTTCTGTCCTTCCTCGACCCCGCAGAGGTAAGTACAATGCCTACCACACACTTCTGTCCTCCCTCGCCCCCGCAGAGGTAAGTACAATACCTACCATACACGTCTGTCCTCCCTCGGCCCCGCAGAGGTAAGTACAATACCTACCATACACGTCTGTCCTCCCTCGACCCCGGAGATGTAAGTACAATACCTACCACACACTTCTGGCCTCCCTCGACCCTTCAGAGGTAAGTACAATACCTACCACACGCTTCTGTCCTCCCTCGACCCCGCAGTGGTAAGTACAATACCTACCACACACTTGTGTCCTCCCTCGACCCCGCAGAGGTAAGTCCAATACCTACCACACACTTCTGTCCTTCCTCGACCCCGCAGAGGTAAGTACAATGCCTACCACCCACTTCTGTCCTCCCTCGACCCCGCAGAGGAAAGTCCAATACCTACCACACACTTCTGTCCTCCTTCGACCCTGCGGAGGTAAGTACAATACCTACCACACACTTCTTTCCTCCCTCGACCCCGCAGAGGTAAGTACAATGCCTACCACACACTTCTGTCCTCCCTCGCCCTCGCAGAGGTAAGTACAATACCTACCACACAATTCTGTCCTCCCTCGACCCTTCAGAGGTAAGTACAATACCTGCCACACACTGGTGTCCTCCCTCGACCCTGCAGAGGTATGTACAATACTTACCACACACTTCTGTCCTCCCTCGACCACGCAGAGATAAGTACAATCCCTACCACACACTTCTGCCCTCCCTCGACCCCCCAGAGGTAAGTACAATCCCTACCACACACTGGTGTCCTCCCTCGACCCTGCAGAGGTATGTACAATACTTACCACACACTTCAGTCCTCCCTCGACCCCGCAGAGGTACAGAGGTAAGCACAATACCTACCACACACTGTTGTCCTCCCTCGACCCTGCAGAGGTATTTCCTCGACCCCGCAGACGTAAGTACAATCCCTACCACACACTTCTGTCCTCCCTCGAACCCGCAGAGGTAAGTACAATACCTACCACCCACTTCTGTCCTCCCTCGACCCTGCAGAGGTAACTACAATACCTACCACACACTTCTGTCCGCCCTCGACCCCGCAGAGGTAAGTACAATACGAAGCATATGTTGGAACGCTACCACACTCTTCTGTCCTCCCTCGACCCCGCAGAGGAAAGTCCAATACCTACCACACACTTCTGTCCTTCCTCGACCCCGCAGAGGTAAGGACAATACCTACCACACACTTCTGTCCTCCCTCTACCCCGCAGAGGTAAGTACAATAACTACCACACACTTCTGTCCTCCCTCGAACCCGCAGAGGTAAGTACAATACCTACCATACACGTCTGTCCTCCCTCGACCCCGCAGAGGTACAGAGATAAGTACAATACCTACCACACACTTCTGTACACACTTCTGTCCTCCCTCGACCCTGCAGAGGTAACTACAATACCTACCACACACTTCTGTCCTCCCTCGACCCTGCAGATGTAAGTACAATACTTACCACACACTTCTGTCCTCCCTCGACCCCGCAGAGGTACAGAGGTAAGTACAATACCTACCACACACTGGTGTCCTCCCTCGACCCTGCAGAGGTATGTACAATACCTACCACACACTTCTGTCCTCCTTCGACCCCGCAGAGGTAAGTACAATACCTACCACACACTTCTGTCCTCCCTTGACCCCGCAGATGTAAGTTTAAGTACAATAACTACCACTGCTGTCAGTGTTTTTTGCCAGATCTGCTTGTATACTTATCCTCATTCCCCCTAACAATTATAAACTTTTGAAATTTAAACAATTTATTTCTCAGAGCAACCTGTTGGAGGACCACATGCGGGACCTACGTCGTGTCATCAGGCCTGGATCCAAGCGTCTCAACTGGAATTCGCTCGGTATCAACGACTTTGTCCTCAAATCAGGAGCCGTGAGTTTTTTTGGCACTTTTGAACGTCCTAGTATATGTATAATGAATCTGTAATGGCTGCAGCCAAGAAATATTTTCATTAACCAAAATTTTTATTATAACTGTGTCTTATTTTGGCAATTATCGAGTCAGAATGGCACAGAATATAGATTATAGAGTGATTTATTACTATTTTAGTGAAATGCCGTACATGAGCTTTTATAAATCCTTATACCTTCGTTAACTTAGTACAAGTAAATTTAATTAAAAATGGAAACTATCATAAACTCTTTCAAGGTCAGCAAATACTGTTTAAGATTGAAATTTGAATTAGCACAATCTCTCAGAAATATAAGAGATATTTTTTTTCTTTTTTCAGGCTATTGCCAAATTTGAATCCCTGGTAAATCAGATCCAGAAGAATGCCAAAGACATCAACCAGAGATTGGTGATGATTGAGAACGCTAACCTGTACAAAGGACCGGTACCAAAGTACCCCGACATGCTGCCAAGTTGCAAGGTAAAGAAAATTTCCTGGTACATAGTAGTTCCCTACTGTAAAATCATAAATGTTCGTGGGACATTAAATTTCGTTTAGTTTGTGGATAACAAAAATCCACGAAATTAAATCGCCACTAAAACATATATTTGGTATAATATAGATAGGGCAAAATCAGAAATCAGCGAAATATAATGTCCTTGAAACAGGCTAGTATTTGAAAACCACGAAATTTTAACCCCACGAAAATATATGATTCTACAGTAATAAAGACCTCGAGGGATTACACAGTCTAATGCTTTTCTGCCTGTAAATATTATCATGATGCATTTATTTTGTAGTGTGTCTTATTAATATAAGCACATCACATTATCAGTAAACAAAACATCATATCGCCCAGCAGCATGTGTGCCCCGACCGATGTCTCACGTTTGGTGTTTGCAGAGTTAATCCCCTTTGGCGAAATGTTGTAAAATGTTGTATGGTTATTTTATTTTTTTCAATAAAATAAAAGTAACATGAAAAGTAAGATAAAATTTGCTCTCGAGAAATGTGATTCACCTCAAACCTTCATATCACCCTACTACAATGGAAATAAATGTGCAATATTAACCCTTTCACCACTGTAGACCGAAATGGACTCATCCAGACCAATGCATGGTAGAGTCTAATAAAGTTACATAGGGGTGAAAGGGTTAATGCTGCAATCTCTCCTGCTTGTGTAGTTTTTACTTGTATTATAAATCCTTCTAAACTCAAACATGTTTGGTACATGGTGAGTGTTCATTAGGAAAAATGTAGTTTAATATGGGAAAATAGAAATTGTGTAGATTGAAACCAATACATGGGTTAGAGATTTTACGAAGTAAAACTAAAAATATAAGTTGGCCAAAATTTATGTTATACTCCGTTGCATAATTGGTGAAACAATTGATATTAATGGATAGATGTTTTTGTTCTTTTTCAAATTATTTATCGTCAGAATGTTTATGATATGTTAAAATGCTTGATTGCACTGGCACTTGGATAATTGAAAGTAAAATTACCGTGAAAATTTCAATATCTGAAAACAATAGCTATAATTGGTGAAAAGGGAACTAAATATTGCCTGAACACATATGGGGAGGAAAATAGTGACCTACATTTCAATATCTGAAAATAATAGCTATAATTGGTGCAAAGACAGCTAGATATTGCCTCAGCACATATGGAGAGGAAAAATGTTAGATTGATCTATTGAATCCTGCAGGAGTACTATGAACATGTGGAGAAGGAACGATCTAAGGACTTCGAGGTTCTGGCCAGAAAGTATCGTGCCATCGGACCCCTACTGACCAAGATGGAGGGATTAGTTGTACATACCAACTCAGGGCGATCGCCCAAACTCAGTCAGTATTACGCCTACTGGGAACGCAAAGTCTACGAGGCACTCAGCAAGGTAAACATTTCAGCTTGAATCATTATATAGGTGTGCTATGGCTTCGTTAGTCTGATATGTGTCTCCAAGCAAAAAGAGTTTAACTGGAATATATAGTCATGTATATGTCATAGTGATGATGGAACCATCTAGTCACTTGATACTTAATCATTTAATCACCAGGGTGCTGGACTGTTAATCTGTTGTCCTGGGTTGGATTCCTGGCGTATGCACTTGAAAAATGGTCACCTCAGTTAAAGGATTTTGACTTTGTTAATTTATTGAAGACAAATTTGAAACCATTAGAAATGCATGAAGAATTAACATACAGCTCGCCCTAAATGATTTTGTCATGTTAATTAAATGGGGTAAATATTCTCTCACTATAATCATTAATGGGTACTGCAAATTGTAAGAAGCTGGGGTTCATATTAGGAATGGTTACCTGTGAAAATTAATTTACTGTTTTATGTTACTTTAACACAAATAATAAAGCCTATTGAGGAAACAGTTCACAAATTACACGATCTTATAATGCATTTTTCTACTTTAATAATTGGTTTATAAATTATGAGTACTTCTGTATTTACTTTTTAAATATGCAATACAAAATTAGATATCAATATTGATTAGATGATCTGTTTTTAAAAGTTTGGCATAATTCATAATCATTTTTGCTAATATAAACATTATTTTTTATCAAATAGTTGACCCTGAACAACCTACGTCGGTTTGAAACGGCCTTGAGATCCGATCGACCGTTATTCCAGGTGGAGACTCTCCTAGCCCCACCAGACGTAGTGCTCCACCCTCAGGCCAACGAAGTGTACAAACTAACTCTCCAGTGTGTCCGTGACTGTGTAGAGGGGTAAGGTCTTCTAGTCAATCAATATCTACATTAATTCTCTGCTTGTCAAGTCAAGGAAATTCGATTGAGATATACAGGTTATAAGGGTTAAGGCTGAAGATTAAGACCTGCTTTTTTGGAATACATGTATGTATCTGTTAATATAAGATTTGAAACTAATCATGAAATTTGAAAAACATTTTGTTCCAGAAGAATTTTATAATGCATTTATAAGAGATAATAACCAAATTTTCTAAGCAGCATTAAGATTTATATTTAGTCAGTTTCAGAGTTCAGCTATCATATAACTTGTCCATGAAAAACTGTTTTGTATTTGTAATTATTTTAAATATTAACATGTAAATTGCATATAATAATCAACTTCCTTTAAAAAAATGTTAAATACACTTAGCTACAAATTATTAAATAGATTGTCAAATAGGTGTATGGTATCAAGTTCAGTCAGTATAATTTTGTTCATTTTTTTTGTAAATAGGACAAAGATGTTCCTACGGTGGATGAACGGAACGTGTATAGAAACCCCACCTCAGAAGGTGGAGGGTGAGGACGAACCCTATGTGTTTAGTTTCTTCACAGACATTTCTGTTAGCCCTGATGTGATCGACTATGTACAGGGCATCCAGAACAATATTAAAAATACTCTCACCAACATGACACGCTACCTCAACCGATGGAAGAAATATCGCAGTATATGGAAAGTGGACAAGGTATGTTTAAATATTTTAAATATTGGGTATATGAATTGTTTTATGCCCATGCAACATAGTAGAAGACCAATAACGTGTTTGCCTCTTTCATCTTTACGAGATCTTTGGTTAGAGGTTTAGCTCTATATTATTCTCCTCTATGTCTAGAAGTCCAGCACTTGTCAAATTTCACACCTGGATACATCTTGAGGAATACTACACTAATATGTCAAATGTAGGTCACTGTGACCTAGATTTTTTGCTTCACTGACTTGATAAGATTGTGTGTTTTAGCTTTAAAACCAGCAATGCAGGAATGGGGGCATATGTTTATTTTATAAACATTCAAGCATTTTTATAGATGCAGATTGTTTTGATATAATTTGATCGAACAAAACAAAATGTTAAAATTACCAATTCACATTTCTACCTGCACGTTACATATCTAGGCATGTGTAATTTTGTTGGTTGTGAAAGAAATATCTAACTAATTTTCTCAATTCCTTTCTTGTTTAATAACACTCGCTGGGTTGTCCCAGGAAAATAGAAATAATTAAATTGGAGAGATATTAACTCTAGAACTAATTCTCCAGTTTATGAAAAGTGAAAATAAGTGTCATTAACATTCTTAATGTACAAGGAATATGACGTTTGGGTGAGTGTGTTCTAATAGTTTTAAACAAAGACATGTTTCAAAGTTTATTTAAATTAGTATTTCTGTGTTTCTCCTGGAACGACTCGTCAGCAAGTTGGAAATAAAAGGTAACAGTTATGAAAAATGGTTGGATATTTTATTCAGTCTTTTAAAACTGAGAAACCAAAAAGGTCAGAGATAGAGTAAGTGTACTTGTATTATTTTAAAATACCAATGAAATTATTACCAAGCTAAGACTGCTTGTTTTTATGATCAACATAAATCTTAGTCAGTGAAATGCTTGAAATTTAAATCATTTTACGAATATTTTTGCAGATTTTTTCATTTACAATTTTATATTTGCTCCGAAATTATGCTTCGAATTCCCAAAATATGTAGTTTCTGGCTTTGTTGTATTACGATAATATTGTGGTTGCTTATTTGATTGCTCTTCATTACAGCAAACCATTGCTGACAAATGGTACCAGAAAGGCCCTAGTGTGGTGGCATTTGACGACAAACTCCAGTATTACTACAAGACAATCGATGAGGTAGAAGGGCTGCCGCTAGTCAAGGATCAGGAATGTATCCGCCTCCACATGGGGCCCCTGGCATCATCAGTGAAGGACCATGCCAAACAATGGATTTCACACCTTGGGAAGATTCTTCGTGATTCCTCTAAAGAGGCCCTCTACAGCCTTAGGGACAATCTAGACGTAAGCTTTAGACACTTTGTCTCTTTTCTTTATACGTGCAGTAGATTTGTACGTAAAATTCAAATATTTTGTCCTATGGGGTTTACCAGGAATGATTAATTAGTATAAAATAATTTGCTCTGATACCAATAACTTCATTGAAAGGTTCCATTACAATTTCATAATTCTATCTATGATGCCTGATGTTAGAATCTCATATATTTATAAGCTGTCATAAAATTAAATATTTTTGAGAGAAAAGTAAGATAAGCTGCTAATAAACACAAATTGTGGTTAAATATTATTGCTTAAATATTAATTCAAAATTGTGTCAGTAATATTTTTATTAATATTAATATTAATATTCAATACTAATACCTGATTTCACTTTAATTCAGTATAATTACAATGTTTCCTTTAAAAAAAAATCAATGAAAGTAAATTGATGTGTTGTTGATATTTTGAGTAATATCAAATAAAAATCCTTTTTCTCATCATTTCTTCATCAGGATAAATCGGACGACCTTGAATCGACCCCTAGTAGTTTAGAGGACCTTAAGTTTGTGCTGACAACAATTTCTGACATTAAAACAATATCCTTGGAAGTGGAAGGTAAGATCCGTGACATTCAGGAGCGGTACAGGACACTGTCTATGTATGATATTGAGGTGACGGACGAGGAGAAAGAAATTCAATGGAACCTTCCACAAATCTGGGACGACCTCGTCTGGAAGTCCAAGAACATCGACGCAAGCCTCTTCATGGTGAAGAAGAGGTTTACAGAGGTAGCTACTTCGTCATTACTTCTCCAGTTCTGACACAGATAAAAAAGTATTTGAATGGAAATGTAATGTATTATATTTTGACTAGTGAATGTTTAAGATAACTGTTTTGTAAATTAAGTATAATTTGATAAATAATGCATTTTGAAAATGTTAAATAAATTATCTTTATTATTTCAAAATCATTGTCCATTTTATGACTTAAAAGATGTTTCCTGAATGTAATTTTGTAGGTGTCTGTGTTTTAAATAATGTATTTACAAGAAAGAAAAGAGTTTAAAAAAGAAAAACATATTTTCCTTGTTAAGATAACCCAAGACCAGATTAAAGACTTCAAGAAAGACCTTGAGGAATTTGCCACCGGCTTTTATGAGAAAGGGCCTGGAGCTGTTGGTACAAATCTTGACAAAGGTATGACAAAAATGTGTACAAAATTACAAAATTGGTCAATTATGATATTAAAAAAGTTTAAAATGTGTACCCTGCTGTCAGCATACTTTCACAATGGATGCTGAAGCAAGAGTTTCAACTTCTGATATAAGGATTTCCTGTAATCAGTGAACAAAATGTCAATCACGATCAGTTTTCAGTTTGTGGTTCAGTTGTCAGTTAATCTTTGAAGTAGTGTTTAATGTTAAAATAAATTGTGTTAATATCTTTCTTAAAAAGATTTATAAAAAAATTACTGTATAGTTGCTTATATTCAAGAGGGTTTTGATTTTGCGAAATCGTTAAAAGTCACAAAGTTAAAACCCTCGTGAATATTTTTTGAGACCCACGCTTCACACGTCTGTGATATCAGTTGAACTGAGGCTACTAGGTTAAAACTTTATGTTGAAAGAAAGACTATATAAAAAAAATAACAGTTAAAATAAAAATATATAAACAAAAAGACTGAAATAGACTGATTCACGAAATGAAACCCCCCGCGAATAAGTTCCAGACACAAATTCTCGAAATTTTAACCCCACAAAATTTAACAACTTTACATAATTTAATAACAGCTGTACAGTGAAACCTGTTGTTGGACTCATATTGAATTGGTCAGATGTCAAAATACATCAGTCTTATCGAACAGTTTTCATTAGAAATGAAAGTACAGTATTTTGGACTAGACCGATTTCCCTTATACCCAGGGGTCAGATAAGACGGGTTTTGCAGTACCTTAAGATTCATTGAAGAAAATAAAACTCATTGGATTGAGGAAAAATATTTCAGTTATCTGACTAGTGTAAGGAAAACTACGAGGGTTGTAAAAGATTTGTCCAAGTAAGAGGGTGATCTACTCCTTAAAATTAACTCAACCAGTACTGTGGCAAATATTTAATGAAGGATATATTTTCATATTGACAATTTAAAATTATTTTAGAATCAGTCAATAAAATTCTTATTTTTAAACAGGATAAGGAAGTATGAACATTCTGCAAAGTTCAAATGTTTTCTTAAATTTTCTTAACATTTCAGGGATTTACTGGAATATAAATTTTAAAGTTGTTTGATTGGTTACTTAAACCAGGTATGGAGTTGATGAAGTCATTCCGTGGAGATGTTGCCCAGTACGAGGCTGACCGACAGGAACTAGCCAACGCTGAGAAGCTGTTTGACCTGCCGATCACTATGTACCCAGACCTGCTGGAAGTCCAGAAACAGATGAAGGGTTTGGAGATGGTCTATTCACTCTACGAGGAACAAACGGTTGGTTTCCCAGGGACTTTTTGTCATTTTTAAAGGATCTTGTAACCATAATTTCCTATTGAAAAAATAGAATGATTGGGAATTATGACATGGACCTAATGATATTACGATTGGTATAAAGTTCCCTACCAAGTTAACATTCTGTCCGTCTCTTTCTCCGTCCATAGTTTTGCTAACTTTTGTCCCAAAATTGTCAGGGGTTTATCTCCTATGCTCTTTCACATGGATTTACCAAATTCGTTATGCAAGTATATCTTTAACTCATTCACCCCTGAAGGCACTTTTGAACTCTTCCAATTCAAATCTTTTAATAGTTCATTATGAAATTTCAGAGATGGATGAGTTAATAAATAAATTGTTGCACACCAAACATTAGGTTACTGTGACCTGTATTTTGATATCTGAACAAAGTTAGCCCTCCTTATAAACACATCTATTTATAGTAATTGTCCTGATATGAGAGTAAACACAAACAATATCATTCCCAAAGTTTAATGTTGTCTGTTAACCCGTTTACCCCTCAAGTCACATTTGAACCTTACCAAATCAAGACTGAGCAAGTTTAGTTTTAAACATTTGGGGTGATAAAGTGAACTAATGAAGGACTGCAGTTTGCCCTGCTATACTTCGCCTTATTTCATTGTACTTAAGATGAAAGCTGTTTGGATGTTAAGACACAATTACATTGAAATTTACCTTAGATTGTCTATAGATACTTTGTTGTGTATTTACCTTAGATTGTCTATAGATATTTTGTTGTGTATTTACCTTAGATTGTCTATAGATACTTTGTTGTGTATTTACCTTAGATTGTCTATAGATATTTTGTTGTGAAATTTACCTAAGATTGTCTATAGATATTTTGTTGTGTATTTACCTTTAATTGTCTATAGATATTTTGTTGTGAAATTTACCTTAGATTGTCTATAGATATTTTGTTGTGTATTTACCTTAGATTGTCTATAGATATTTTGTTGTGTGTTGTAGGCTGCAAGAGAGGGATGGTCCGAGACTCTGTGGTCAAACCTCAACGTCCAGGTGCTACAGGACGGAATCGAGGGCTTCCTCAAACAACTCCGGAAGATGCCACGGGACGTTAAGTCTCTACAAGCCGCTCGTGCCCTCGAATCAAAGATGAAGGAATTCCGGGATTCTCTCCCCCTGTTTGTAGATCTCAAGCATGAAGCACTCCGAGAACGGTAAGATTATTGTCATGTTTATAATGAAACAAAATTCTTCTTAATTTTTTCTTCCTCCCAATGAACAAAATCAATGTCACTATAATATAAATGAATGAAAATATGAACAAATTTTCCTAGAAGTTATATTTTTCCAAAAAAGAATAAAATGTATTGTGTTTATGAATGATAACACTTTGTTTCAATAAATTGTTTAATTTCTGCTTAATTATTGAATAATTGGATATGTTTCAACTTAAAGATCAAGTGTTGATGTGAAAAAGAATAAATGTACTATATATAGTTACGATAAGAGAAATGAAAAGTGTGGTTAGATAGTAATTTTAACATAACATATCCCTCCATTCTCCAGCCATTGGAAGGAGTTGATGAACAAGACTGGTCAGAAGTTTGACATCAACCCAGAAACTTTTACTTTGGCTAATGTATTCGCTATGGAGCTGCAGCGCTTCCAGGAAACCATTATAGAGATCGTAACAGCAGCCAGCAAGGAAATGGGCATAGAAAAGGTCAGTAAATTGCCAATAAATCTTGTTGATATACTGGGCACCACTATGGGAACCAAACTTTTCAGTCGGACATGTAAATTGTTAAAGATATAGCCAAAATAAAGCTCACTAAACATTATAAGGAAAATAAAGCTCACTCAACATTACAAGACTTCAGAATTGTGCAGGGTTTGGTATATTCATCCGTACTCGTACGACCCTGGCAGTTGCGGGGACATAACACCTCCGAACAGACTTCATTTCTGAATCCATTGAATGATTGATCAAGAGTTTTTTATTAGAATTTATTGAATATCATATCTAAACAATTATTTGTTTGTTCTCCGCTTTGTAGGGTGTTAAAGAAGTTGAAGAGATGTGGAGTAATATGAAGTTCACCATTGTCCCATACATGAAAGGGACTTCAAACCGAGGCTTCATCTTGGGGGCCATTGACGACGTCCTCCAAAACCTTGACGACAGTGCCATGAATCTGCAGAGTATGGCTGCCTCACGTTTCATTGGTCCATTTGCTAACTCTGTCCAGAACTGGGAGAAAAGTTTGTCTCTGGTTTCTGAAGTTTTAGATGTAAGTTGAAAACAGTAAAGAAAAGTTCTTTCACCAGTCGTACAAAAAATACAGTTCCTCTCTCGTACTTATCACCCTTTTCTAGCTCACCTGGTCCCAGTTCTAGAAGATATTACTCTATTATAAAAGTTCCACATTGATTATTGCTGGGAAAAAATTACAGGTGAAAAAGGATAAGATAACTCAATTATGTCTAATTTCTGATTTTACTTGGTTAACTTGATTCTAAGGCAGTCTGTGTTATCTCTATAGTGATCCTTACTGAAATAGAACTTCTTGAATACATTTTTATGCACACAATTAACTAGTTTGAGCAGGTTTTCTTATACAATACAACTAGTAGTTTTGTAATGAAAGCTGACTTCAGCCATGGAATCACAATGAAGAATTGTATGCAATGTTTTTATAATTAATGGTTGTTCTGTGTGTTGTAGGTGTGGATGGTGGTCCAGAGGAAGTGGATGTATCTAGAGGGGATCTTCATTGGCGGAGACATCCGCTCACAGCTGCCGGAGGAGGCGAAGAAGTTCGACCAGATTGATAAGACATTCAAAAAGGTAAATTCACATCAGAAAAGTGGCTGGACGGGTGGTTTGACCAGTAGTTAGTGCATCCGACTTTCACTAAGGTGCTCAGGGTTGGATTCCCCCGAGTGGTTAGAAAAGGCATGGGGTAACCTGCCCGACCATGTGGTTTTCTCTGGGTACTCTGGTTTCCTCCCATATTTCACTCTGTGAGCACTTCAATCTGGGCCAACAAAAGTGATCGATATATGTAGGATCTTAAATGAGTTTTCATTTCATATGAGATTTTATGAAACGAGTCTTAGGAGTAATTTAAACTTTGAGACGAGTTTTTATAAAAGCTCATATGAAATGAAAACAAATTTAAGATACTTTTTATCACATAACTTAGAAAACTTACATTTTGAATTTTGACAGGTTTTAAAGCCAAAATGTAGAGGACTTAATCAAACGGAGACAGCCATTTTGTTGCGCCATTCACAATTTATGACTTCACGTCATTGTCCATATAATGACGTCACAATCGATTTCTGACTGGCACAGCCAATGAAACGCTCCAGGGTATATTACACTTGTGACATATGTAAAAATATTACACGAGCGAATTCACTGGATAAAAGGCCGATTATGTGATAAAAGTTTATAGCTTGCTTCATATATGATTGTCAAATAAATAAATTTGAGTAACATCTAGTCCCTTGTTACTCTGATTGTGGAAATATTCTTTTAGCTTATTTGGTAGACGACTGGGCATAATCGATATACCCATGTTTGACTCCCAACAGATGCACTGCTATGCTGGGTACAATAATTTCTGGACAGTCTCTTATGTATCAATCTAATTCTTTCTGATAGTTACTGAAATTATTTAAGTTGAAAATGTTCAAGGGGCTGAACCACAGGTATACTAGGAGAGGCAAAATACAACGGACAAAAAATGGATTATAGCTAAAGTTGTGGAAAGTCTCTTATGTAACTGAGCTATCTTAGTCACCAACAATTCCGGTTCTGTTATCATGAGTTGATCCTCATGTCATTTGGCTTTTAAAGTAAGTTATTGATGACAATAATCCGTTATTGTATTATTTTATATTCCCCAAATCATATAAAGTATTTTTTCAATGGACGATATTTGTTGTGGACAGATAATGACGGACACTCACAAGACGCCGACCATTAAGATCGCCTGCCACGCTCCTAACCGTCTCCAGGACCTGGAGAGCCTCAGCATGGGCCTGGAAAAGTGCCAGAAGTCGCTGAACGACTACCTCGACTCCAAACGTAATGCCTTCCCACGTTTCTTCTTCATCTCAGACGATGAATTGCTGAGCATTCTGGGTAGCAGTGATCCAAGTTGTGTACAGGAACACATCATCAAGGTAGGTAGTAATGATGTAGACAGTACTGTATAGCTGAAAAGTTTCGCCCAGTCAAACCTTCGCCCTTTGCTGGTAAAAATCCATATTTGCCCTGTATGAATTTTGCCCTTCACATTTAATTACTATGTATATTATTTTATGTTTATTAACCCTTTTACCCCTATGTAACTTTAGTAGAATCTACCATGCATTGATATGGATGAGTCCATTATTGTCTACAGTGGTGAAAGGGTGTTAAAGTTTGCTGTAATGATTAATTTGCCCGCGCTACGGAGGGTAAAAAAGGCAAAAAATTAAACTATGGCAAACATTTTCTGATATACAGTATGTCGTCAAGGTATTCTAGTAAGCCTGTGATGACATGCCACGGTAGTGAAACACCTAGTCCCCAGGTATTCTGATTGTGGAAATTTTCTTTTAGCTCATTTGGTAGAGGACCAGACTTAAAATTGATATAGTTTGGGTTTGACTTTGAACAGAAGCACTTGGAAAACGTGACCACAGTAACGCTGGTGACCACGTAGGGACCTGGGTACTTGGTACAATAATATCTTTAAGCTTGCTCTCACAAGCATGGTTATACATATTCCAGAAAACTTGACGATAAGGTCGGGAATTGTCGGAGTGATAAATTTTCTAGTCACATGACTGTCCCTTTATTTCAAAAGAATGACATTCCCGGTCCACTTAGTGTAAAGGGTAAAGTTGAACTGTAGCCTAGACACTTGTCAAGCTAATAAAACCAAGTAAAGTTCAACAAATTCTTCGATAAATAATTGTCTGTATAATCTTCTTATGAGCTATGTATTTTGTGACTTCATAATCATTTAATATCATATTCTTTGAGGGTACAAGTATTATTTTGGTAAAAACTTCTTTGGGCAGTACACAGGGCTTTAGCTTGGGGTCTAAATTCTATACCTGTCTACACCTGTAACCTGTCTAGATGTGGTCCCTGTCTAATCCGAACTTCTATCCGTAGCAGCTTTGATGTGTGGTCCTCAGAATTTCCTGTCTTATTTTACTGTAAACCAGTACTGTGTCCAATTCAGACCCTGTCTACTCTGGAAACTGGAATTCTGGTAAGATTCCCTCAGATAGCTTATAAATCAATTGCATTTATCATTGGTTATTCTATAGATGTACGACAATATTGCCTCTCTGAGATTCCAAGAGGGCGGTAGCAACGAGACACTTGCCACAGCAATGAACTCTGCGGAAAATGAAGTGATGGAATTCCGCACAAGCGTTCCAGCCGAAGGTCGTGTAGAAGACTGGATGACAGCCGTTCTAGAAGAAATGAGATCCACCAATCGTCTTATCACAAAGGAAGCTGTCTTCTTCTACGGAGAAGATGAAAATAACAGGTACGTCTCATTCCTTGTGGAAGGGAAAAATTCTGTTTTCACTTCAAAGGGTGTTACTTTGCATCAAATCAAGTACAAATGAAATTTGATAATCAATATCTAATTAAGCATTGTGTGATTGTGATATCTTCTGTTTTAGAAGTCATTGACCATATCATATATATGTATTCTTCCTTATTACGACTGGACTTGATCACTTTAACTTTTTGTAGTTTTTACGTTGCTACAGTTTCCTTCTTCTTGTTTTCACCAAAGTGATTTTTGGTAATTTAACAACCATTGAAGGATAAGCTGCATACTTTCATTCTTGTCAATTCTTAATTGTTCCTGTCTGTTAACTGACACTGTTTATGATGACACGAAAATGCTTGGCTGAATTTTTACAAAAAAACACCAAATAACTTGTGCTTTTAGAGTGGACTGGATGTTGGGATACCAAGGTATGATATGTCTGGCCGGTAACCAGGTCTGGTGGACGTGGGAGGTCGAAGACACATTCAACAAGGTCAAGAAAGGTCAGAAGACTGCCATGAAGGACTACGCCAAACAGCAACACAAACAAATCAACGAGGTGGTGGTACAGATTCGCTCACCTCTGTCGAAAAATGATCGTGCCAAGTTCAACTCTGTACTTATCATTGATGTGCATGCTCGTGACATCATCGACGGCTTTGTCCGGGACAGGTATGTATTGTCGTATGATTGTATTGTGAACAATTAACTAGACTGAACTGAACAGTGTATTTTTTGAAACTATGAGGTCAGTGTTTTTAACTTCGTACTCTTATGAAATAAATTCAATTAGAAAATAATAAATGAAGCTTTTAATTTCAATTTCCAGTATTATGGATGCCAAGGAGTTTGAGTGGGAGAGCCAGCTGAGATTTTATTGGGAGAAGGAGCCAGATGAGCTGGTGGTCCGACAGTGTACAGGAGATTTCGGCTATGGTTACGAGTACATGGGTCTCAATGGTAGACTGGTCATCACCCCACTGACTGACAGAATCTACCTCACACTCACTCAGGTAAACACCCAACAAGGGTGGCAAAACGTTTTAAATCTTGGAAACGACATTCGTTTTTGTGTCGCCTACGACGGATGTCGGAAAGACACATAGGCGCTGCTTTTCTGACGGCGTCTTCAACAATGTTAAGGTTTTGCGTTTAGCTCTGTTTCTGACAAAGCTACACCAACAAAACCTCGATCATAGATGTAGCAGTGGTAGTGGAGCCTACTGCACTAAAAACTTTTCATTGATTTCTGATTTTTTTTGGTAAAAACCTCAAATTTCTGGACTTAAAAAAAAATCAACCTTAAGGTTTTGCGTTTAGCTCTTGCATATTAGGCTCTTTCTGACAAAGTATAAGAGCTACACCAACCAAACCAACCAAACCTCAATCATACATGTATCATGGGTAGTAGAGCCTACTACACTAAAAGCATTTCATTGATTTCTGCACTTTTTCGGATAAAAACCTGAAATTTCTGGACGTAAAAAAAAATCAATGTTATGATTTTGCATTTAGGTCCGTTTCCTGTATCAGTAATAACTTGAAACTTCTCTTAAATATATCCTAAGTACTATGTCAAATGCTTATTATATTGACAAAGCGGGACAGGCGACACATAATTACGGGTAATTCTTGTTCATCATTCAAATTTCTTGAAAATCTATTACATTTTTATATTTTTTTTTGTTTCTTAAAAACTTTTAGATGACAAAGATATCTCGCACTACTCGTAATTATAATTCTGCCAGAACAAAAATGGCAATTTCTGATATATTTTGTTTTGTTTTGCAAACTTTGCTATCGTATTCACCAGATATATACCATTCCTATCAGATTTAATTTTAGAATCCCATACATTCTTAGCTGAATGAGGAACACAGTAATCAAAGTTTTGTGTTATGTTTTGTGAAATATAGTTTTAATTTTGCTTTTTTTTATCAAAATGCACAACATAATAGTCATTAAACGATAATGTTCATTCCACAGGCGTTGTCCATGAACCTAGGTGGTGCTCCAGCTGGCCCAGCTGGTACTGGTAAAACCGAGACAGTCAAGGATCTTGCCAAGGCCCTGGGTCTACTGTGTGTTGTAACCAACTGTGGAGAAGGCATGGACTTTAAGGTAACCCACCCCACCTTAGTTTTTAATCATTAAGATAACCCACCCCACATTAGTTGTTAAACATTTAGGTAACCCACCCCAAAGTAGGTGTTAAAGATTAAGGTAACACATCCCACATCAGTCGTTAAAGATTAATGTAACCCATCCCACATTAGTTGTTAAACATTAAGGTAACCCACCCCACATTAATCTTTGTGGTTGTAGGCGATGTCTGAAGCGGTTGTAGTGAGCTGATGCTGCGTAATCGGTTTATATAACCAGCTGATCAATGCGCGTGACCTTTTCCCCTCCTGAACCCCAACCCCCTCCACTGTTTACAAACATTGCATAGGGACTATTTATATACTGAACACATAACATCAAATGAATCAATCAATAACATCATGTATAAAATTTATTAAAATTGTATTTTAATTGTTTATTGTTTCTGTTGTAGGCTGTGGGTAAAATCTTCTCAGGTCTGTGTCAGTGTGGAGCTTGGGGTTGTTTTGACGAGTTCAACAGAATTGACGTGTCAGTACTGTCCGTCATTTCTACCCAGCTGAAGACAATCCAGAACGGACTCATCCTGAAACTCAAAAAGTTTCACGTAAGTCTGCTCTTTGATCCCTACTCCAAAAAATGTGTATTTATTAATTCTTTTGTTCAGTTTTTAATTGTCTTAGATAGTTGCAATTGAATTCTGTTTAATCTTTACCTGATGAATTCTTTATTTATTGGTCAATATGCCTATTAAAAAAAATTAAAATTTAATATTTGCTGAAAGAATAATTTTCAAAATCATATCATTTGAATAACGTTAACTTTGATTTTGAAACCATGATTTCAAATTTGCAAAATGAGTCATATTAAAAAGTTTCCTTAGGAATCAACAAAAATGAATGATGTTGCCCAATCATGTAAAACCAATGCACTTAATCAAAGATAGACCAGTTGAACAATTGCTTCAATGTCTGAGTGACCTCTGACCTACTTTTGTAGTTTGAAGGTCAAGAAATTAACCTTGACCTTCGGGTGGGAATGTTCATCACCATGAACCCAGGTTATGCTGGTCGTACCGAGCTGCCGGAGTCTGTGAAGGCTTTGTTCCGTCCCGTGGTCGTAATCGTGCCTGATCTTCAGCAGATCTGCGAGATCATGTTGTTTTCTGAGGGATTCTTACACGCCAAGGTCCTCGCCAAAAAGATGACAGTGCTGTACAAACTGGCGAAGGAACAATTGTCAAAGCAGTACCACTACGATTTTGGTCTGCGTGCCCTCAAATCTGTCCTTGTCATGGCTGGTGAGCTGAAGAGAAGCTCAGCAGAACTCCCAGAGGTAAGTAATACAGTATGGGTGGGTCAACATGTCTAGAGTATTGACAGTGTTTGATTCATATCTCAGTATTTGAAAGAGGAGGAGAGGACCAAATGGTGTTAAATGTTTAAACAGGTTAAAAAAGATTGTCTACATGGTAAAATGAATAACTACTCATGTTAAACAAAATGTTACAAATGTTTTGAGACTTGATTAAGGGACTTCATAGATTTTGGCGGGCCAGTTATATTTACCAATTGGTATTTCACTATACAGTCAAACTTCCATAAATCGAACTTCAAAGATTCGAATTTCTCGATGTGTCAAACTTATGACACATTTTAAGTCCATATTTTTTTCCTAAATAACACTACTTACATTTTATTAATTAATCAAACTTTTATTAGTTAAATTTGTCTCTGTTTCAAAGTATAATCAAGGTCGGTTGGTTATGAAAACATTGAAAATTACAACTTATATATTGATGTGAAAAAAGTACCTTACATTAACACGGAAATTTAATTGACAAACAAAGAAATATTCAATTGGATAAAATCACCAGGCAAACTACAGCATCTAAAAACTCAATATTATAGATTTTAATTTCAATTTCTGAACCTGTACGTGTTGTCAATGATATGTTCATTGTTCAATATTCTTTAGTGGAATTCGCTAGGTATATGTCTGTACAGTTAGCCAGTAAGGTGTTTCTGTATCTCCAGGATGTGGTGCTAATGAGAGCGCTGAGAGACATGAACCTGCCCAAGTTCGTGTTTGAGGACGTCCCACTGTTCCTGGGTCTCATTGGAGATCTGTTCCCCGGTCTTGACTGCCCCCGTGTTCGTTACCCCAACTTTAACGACGCAGTTGAAGCAGTACTCGCTGATAATGGTTACGTCATGCTTCCTATACAGGTGAGTTAGTCACAAAAGTTGTAAATTAGGTCAATTTACAAATAAACTCTGCAATACACGGATAACCAGGTTTATTTGCGGCTCAGTTTTTGTATCACGCTAGTCAATAGCATCATAGCAAATATGCTTGGTAATTGGAAGAAAGACTTACTTTGCTTTAAAAGGTCAATAATTTCTCCCACATTTTCAGAGATGCATTTCTGTTAGAGAAAAGATAAACCTGTCTTTTTTTACAAAGGGAAAGACAGCTCATAAGCGCTATTATTGTGAAATTGTTGCCATTATATGTCATCACTTTAGGCAGGGTTACCAGGGTAGGTAATCAATTTTGCCACATATTTCATGCACCCTTCATGATGGCAATCCGCAATTACAACTGATGTTACAGAAGGAAAGTGGAAGAAAAATAATTTATCACTTCTGTGTGATGCAGTTAGAAAAATCTCATCCTCAGGCTAAGATATTTGAAGTAAAGCACTCGGCAAAGCGTTGATGCTAAAAATTCAAAAATCCTACGTTTGGTTTGAGATTCTGTCTACTTCACACGTGGGTGATAGATTCTGTTAATTATTCACAAAGTGTGTAGGAAATTCTCTTCAATCTATTTATTCAAAACTTGAAAAATAAATTATGGAAACTATATGACAAGTCCATTAAATAAGCAGTCATGAGGGATAACTAGAGTGAGTTTTACCCGACAGGTCGACAAAGTGGTACAGCTGTACGAGACCATGATGACCCGACACACAACCATGATTGTCGGTCCTACAGGGGGAGGTAAATCTGTCGTCATCAACACGTTGTCACAGTCGCAGACAAAGTAAGTGTGATCTATTTCGTTAATAAACTTGTAGAAATAAAAAAAAAAAATGTTTCTATTACACTTCCAAAGTGTTTATCAATATTATTTCATGCATAAAGATTTTGATATATGTTGTAGGAACTACCCATCGCTTCGCATTCTATTTTTCTATTATATTTAATCAAACGAAAAAAGGGGGAATTCAGGGTTATCATTTGAAACTTCAATATACCAGTTACCTCTCTCCCTAAAACCTGTCATGTATTTTCTTAAGATAGCATTTTCAGAAAAAAAATAACCACTAATGAAATGATTAAAACTAAAATTCATAGAAAAGTATATATAATATGAATATTTCAAGCGTTCAAATTTTTTTAAATTTTCAAAAATAAAAGAATGATATTAATAACAAGTGCTAATTGTAACTGGGACCATTACAGAAGTCCACCAAACTGCCCCAATAGTCGCAAAGATGCAAAACAGGTGTCGGGGTAGAGTTGACAGTGCCATAATATACTTACATACCAAGCTTAAGCAATATTGGAGATAAAGAGGGACCAGTGGCATCACCTTGGCGTACACCTTTAAATGTGTTAATAAATCAGAGGCCGTGGTGGCCATCTTGGATGCAGAGCTGTTAAAAAAGGGTGTCTTGCACATCTAGGCGCACGCCCCAATACTCATGTGTAGTTTTATTGGAATCCAACGTACAGTGACTGAGTAAATGTGCGGACAAAATTTTATGACGAAAAATCAAGAAGAAGAGGAAGAATAATGATAAAAAACGGAGTAAAAACAAGAAGTCCCCAAACATGAATTTGTTTCGGGGTCTTAATTAATTAAAAACATTCTGATTAGTTCATAAATGATAAAATTTGCTATATATTGAAGGATTATTTATCAGAGTTTCTATTTCTAAGATAAAGAAGAGTTTTAGCCTCGATCAAAGAATTAAAGTTTAAAAGGGTCTTCAAGTTATAAGAGTTAAGGATAGCGAAGTTGGACTGTATATTGAAGAATACCTTCATGTTTGAAAAGGAATCAAATCCTATTGACAGCCCGATGAGAAATCTGTCTTCAGAAAATGGGGCGAAGCATATTTTCAATTTTGTATAATAATTTTTCACAATTTATGGCAACATGCAGCTAAATTTCTTTCCCTGAATTAGTTAAAAAAAAAATCCATTATTAAAATAGTTATTTTAAAAAATTGCACATCACCAAAAGACCCAAGATGTATGTTCCGTGAGTCACTGAGATACGAGAAATATATGTTCATTTTCTCAGGATATTTAGTTTACCAATAGTTCAAAAGTATTAAGAATAATAAGTAGGACACAGAACAAGAGATGTAAATAATGTAAACAGTATGTATCTATTACCAGTCTTCGGAAAATTCAAATGCTCCTGAAAGTTGTTTCAAGCCAATCACAAATACTAAGGTGAAAAAATATATAACTGGTATGTGTGTTTACAGGTGATTTACCATTAGATAAAACAAGATATATATATATATATATTCTGTGTGTTTCTATAGACTGGGAACGACTACCAAGCTGTTTGTCATCAATCCCAAGGATCGTAGTGTGATAGAGCTCTACGGTATCCTCGACCCCGTCACTCGTGACTGGACTGATGGTCTCCTCTCAAATATCTTCCGAGATATCAACAGACCCACGGACAAGAAAGAGCGCAAGTATATTGTGTTTGATGGCGATGTTGACGCCCTCTGGGTGGAAAATATGAACTCTGTCATGGACGACAATCGTTTGTTGACTCTGGCCAACGGTGAAAGGATTCGTCTACAGAAACATTGTGCCATGTTATTTGAGGTAAGGATTCGTCTAGATTCAGGCAATATATCAAAGCACTGTAATCAAATATATTGTTTTTCGTTGTCAACAGTTACTTATGAATGGATAGATAACTGTAATATGTATATAACTCGGCCATGATTGAGCTCATTCATCTACACTTGCAAAGGAATAACATATAGCACTTCTGCTAGCTTTCAAATTTTCTTACGGAATTCTCACTTATGTGAATCATAAACAGGGAATGTGTCGCATCACAAACAAGTTCATATCCTAAAGATCGAAATCATGGCATGGAGTCAAAGGTCATATAATTGTGAATTGGACTGAGTGCTTTCTGATTTTCTGAGGAAACTTTGTAAACATGCCTGTTATAATTAGATGGAAGGTTGCATAACACATTCAAGTCCATATGTCGGTGAAAGAGGTTCATATTAGTATTATTCATCCCAATATGATAGATGGTGTTGATAGCTATATAATCTTTTTTTTTAAATCAATGTCGCTTTATTTATTGCAGGTGTCTGACTTACAATACGCCTCCCCTGCCACTGTGTCCAGGTGTGGAATGGTGTACGTCGACCCAAAGAACCTCGGCTTTGACCCCTTCTGGACCAAATGGATGAACACTCGGCCGAGCAAGACAGAGAGAGACGAGATGAAGCGACTATATGATAAATATGTTCCTTCACTCATAGACATGGTGATTGAGGGTGTCATGGACGGCAAACTGGGAGATAAGATGAAGACAATTATACCTCTGACTAACCTCAACCTGGTAAGGGCTCGTTAATGATTTCTCTTAGGACAAATAAACCACTGCCAGATTACCCATAGACTTGTTAAGATGATAGGTATTTCACACTCAAGGGACAGTGCCAGGTGTTTATAGGGTCGGGTGCAGGGACCCATTCCCAAATGAAAAATGACCCTGTATTTTCCCAATTTCCGTCTTTATTTTCCCAATTGGATTAAAAAGCATGTTTTACAAGTTTCCAGTTGTTATATGTGCAACATTCAAAGTGTTTACCATCCAAAGAGGAGCATTCAAGATACAGAAATAATGATAATTTGAAATTGAATAAACAAAAACACTGAAAATTGATGTGTTTATGTATTGATATATATATTTCTGTAAGAAACAGCTAGGGAAAAACTTTTGGCTAATCACACTAGTACTGCAGGTTTATTTTTTTCCAAATTTCCCAATTTTTGCCAAATGTCGATGATATTTTCCCAATTCCTTCTTAGGGGCCCTTTCCTAATATAGCTGGCAAAAACCCTGCATTCACGTTCTTGCACAGATTGAATGAAAAAAGTGTCCCATGAAGCTTCCGTTCGCTTGTTTTCATTTGGCGTGTAACAGACTACCCTTTCTATATAACGGTAATTAGATACCCAATTCCTTCTGTTCTAGGTGACTCAGCTAAGTAACATGCTAGACGCCCTTTTGGTGAAGGAGAACCTGGAGTCTGACGAGTTAGAGGCGTACTTCCTCCAGGCACTGTATTGGTCTATAGGCGCAGCTCTTCTGGAAGATGGTCGCATTAAGTTTGACGCCCAAGTCAAGAATCTGGCTTCCCTCACACAGGTTGTGGACGAGGGTAAAACACAGGCAGGCTTAGGTATGTCATTGGTTGCTGAAATATTTCTGACAATTACATATGGCCGATAAAGTTCCTGTATATTGTTTTTTGGGTGTGGCAATCTGTTAAAAGATAACGTGCTGAAATATAGATAATGCTTGAAACTGTGAGTGATATACAGTCTTCAAAAATGAAGGAGCGAAACAAAATGTTCAAAATGTTTTGTTGATAAGTAAAAATTTAACTTGAATAAAAACAGATCAAACTTTATTCTTTATTTTTAAGCTTTTGCAAATAAGAAATGTATATAGTGAAGCTTATGTTTGATGTTACAGGTGAAATCCCTACCACTCAGCCAACCCTGTATGAGTATTTCTATGACGCGGAGGAAAAGAAATGGGAAGCTTGGACCAAAAAAGTCCCAACTTACATCCATGCCCCAGAGAAGAAATACAATGAGATCCTGGTCCCTACTGTTGACACTGTGCGCACTACTTGGCTGCTGGAGCTCATGGTCGGTATTAAACATCCCGTTGTCTTGATCGGCGAGACCGGTACGTCTAAGTCAGCTACTACTGCCAACTTCCTCAGAACCATGGACTCAGAAACACATGTAAGCTTGTCTTTTGGGAGAAATTTTAAACATTATAATTACGTATTCTAAGATATACTAAAAACATTTTATTTTGATGCATGATGGCGTCTCTTCAGAATTTCTTTCTACCAAATCTATAGTTAATATTCAAAACCTCGTTATACTGCCACCATTTATTCAGAACAAAATGGCATTATAAAGGGGTTTGGCGATAAATTGAGGGTCATGTATCAAGGAATTCTTCAGAAAACAAGAAAAAGGGACATTGAAATATGTTCGCAGTAAATGATGTGGCAATTAATGAAACGAGGGGCATTATAATGAGGTTTACTGTATTTGAATAAATAAGATTTGACAATTTCATCTAACTTAGCCTTTTAAATATTCCAGTTGTTGCTGAACATGAACTTCTCCAGTCGTACAACATCCTTTGATGTGCAGCGTAACTTGGAGGCAAACGTAGAAAAGAGGACCAAGGACACCTATGGACCCCCACCAGGCAAGAGGCTGCTCATCTTCATTGACGACATGAACATGCCTCAGGTAAGGAAAGTCCTAAGATCTTCTGATACCTTTAGCATTAGCTCATTCGCCCCTACATATCTGAACTGGACTTGCCCAGTCTTTGATTTGGTAAGGTTTAAATGTGACTTTAGGGGTGAAAGAATAACCTATATTTAGAGACCTTCAGGAATGAGCACAAAACCTATTCTTAAGCATGAAAACGGTTTCATGAATACGGCCCAGGAATTCTATAAAGAGGTCTCTTATTGCAGTGGTCTCTTCATACAGGATCAGATTAAGCTAAAATAACTGCAATAGGAAGTTAGTAAAGTTGTCATTTAATACAAATGGCCTCATAATCCGACAGAATTCCTTGAATGGGGTTGACCAATATACAATTTTTGCTGCATCATTTCAGTAGTTAAAGCCATATGCCGATAGAAACTGCATGCTAGCCTCCATGTTGAACCAATTTTACTTATAATCGGGTCATATCAGGAAATACTGTAAAGAAATTACTATCTTAGTGACTTTTCTGCACACATACACAGTACAATGTATATTAAAGGGCTTTGACTCTATCACAGATACGTGATTGTGACCTCTGACCTCTGACCTTGTTTATAGGTGGACACATATGGCACTCAGCAACCTGTTGCGCTGTTGAAACTTCTACTAGAGAAAGGAGGCGCCTATGACCGGGGCAAGGATCTCAACTGGAAGAACATGAAGGACATTGGCTATATTGCAGCTATGGGTATCGCTGGTGGCGGTCGTAATGAGACAGACCCAAGATTTGTCTCCCTTTTCTGTGTGTTCAACATGACATTCCCCTCAGACGAGTCTCTGTACTTGATCTACAACTCCATCCTTGTTGGTCACTGCCAGCCTTTCGCTAAGGAGATTCAGGACTGTGTGTCCACTATCACCAAGATGACCATGAGTCTTTACAGGTAAACAAATCTGTACAGGTAAACAAAAATGATTAGGACAGGTAAACAAAAATGATAAGGTAAACAAATCTTACCACTTGAATAAATCTAACAAAACTTTACAGGTATTGAAAACAACTGTTTACAGGTAAAAAAAATAACAAGTAAAGAAATCATTATAGGTAAAAAGATCTTCACAGATAAACAAATCTGTACAGGTAAAAAAAAAATGTTAGGTAAACCCAATCTATCTAAACTTATATCTTCACATCGCTCCCGTTTACTGATATGTCGTGTTGAAGATCTTCAACGTGACATATCAGTAAACGGGAGCGATGTGAAGATATAATTTTAATTAGATTGAGGTAAACCAATCTCATCAGTTGAAGAAATCTTACCAAATTTTCTGGAAGAGTGAAATTAACAGTAACACTCGTTGAATATGGAATTTTCAGGTGAAAAGCGAAGGTTTAACTGGACAAAAAAATCCCAATACACAGTACCTCCAGGAAACTGCATTCTTAAATATATATATAAGTTATATTTGCAATAATATTGACAACTTTGAGATTTGATATTTAAACTATTATTCAGATAATAGCGTTTTGTTTTCAGCACGGTGGTAAAGGACCTCCCCCCAACTCCATCTAAGTTCCATTACATCTTTAACCTGCGTGACTTGTCACGTATTTATCAGGGTTTGTGTCTCACCACACCCGACCGCTTCAGCAAACCAGACAAGTTTGTGCGTGTCTGGAGGAATGAATGCATGAGAGTAATTTCTGACCGACTCATCAGCGACACCGACAAAGCCAATGTCATGGTAAGTGTGACGTTACTCTTGGTCCGAACCCCGCGCACATTTTATTAAGTCATAAATGCTCATTTTGTTTAAGTCGCAGCTGAAGTAAGAATCTCCTGTAGCAGATATTGCTGGTCATATTTCTGATTTTTGCTGAGGTGTTTTAATGCACATAGATAACAGAAACTTGGATTCCTATCTAAGTCGCTCATCTAACAAGAAATCCTGTTTGGTTCCCTGGTGGGTGGCAGAAAGGTCACCAATCTTCCAAGAAATACGATGCTATCACTTCCTTTCAGCTAAGGATCAAATTCAAGTAAATGATAATGGTCTATTGTCATTATACTAAATATATTTTGGATTTAAACTACAGAAATGAAGGTAAGATTTGCTAGAAATTAAAGTATAAATTAACTCATTCACATTTGAACTCTTCCAATTTAAAGGTTGGAAGAGTTCATTATAAAATTTCAGGGTTGAATGAGTTAAAATATATAAAAAAACAAGAATTGTACAGGATGTGTTTGTTATTACAGAAATCATTACAGACACTTGTAGAAGATAACTACAAGAGCTATGTGGACATGGTAATGAAGGACCCCATCCTGTTTGGAGATTATCGTACAGCTTTGGAGGACAGTGAGCCGCGACTTTACGAGGACATACAGGACTACGATGCCTCACAGGCACTCTTTAAGGAGGTCAGGGTCATGCTTCTTTTATTGTCTTTAAGGAGGTCAGGGTCATGCTTCTATTATTGTCTTTAAGGAGTCTGGAGTCATGTAAAAATGTCCAATCAGATTTTTATTTTTTTTACTAGATTTATCTATTAAAAATATCAAAGGGTTGTATCTATAAGAGATATACAAATAATTTTTCTTTGTACTTATAAATCTATCCCAAGACATCTGCTGTTTGAAACAATTTCACAGCCCAGATTATTGGTCAGTTATAAATTCTATTTCATAACCTAATGATTACATACATCAAGGGGCTGTAGAACATCAATTCTTATCTCCCATTTCTGGTAGCTTGAAATATAGTTTCATTGTTAACTTGGTTTAGTTTATTACTTCAAATTAAGGTAGCATTGCTGTTTTCATTCCAGATTTTGGAGGAATACAATGAAAGTAACACTGCAATGAGACTTGTACTGTTTGAGGATGCACTGGAGCATCTGACGCGTGTGCACCGTGTAATTCGTATGGACAATGGCCACGCCTTACTTGTGGGTGTTGGAGGCAGTGGCAAACAGAGTCTGTGTAAACTTGCTTCCTACACAGCTGGTTGTGAGGTATTCGAAATTACGCTCAGCCGAGGCTACAGCGAGCAGTCGTTCCGAGAGGACTTGAAAATTCTATACAACAAACTCGGAATTGAGAACAAAAAGATGGTGTTCCTGTTCACAGATCAACACGTGGTAGAGGAGGGCTTCCTGGAGCTCATTAACAACATGCTCACCTCAGGCATGGTACCGGCCCTCTACCAAGACGATGAGAAAGAGGCTATCATTGGACAGGTACGTTGTGCTGTGAATTTTCTTGCAGTAGATGCGATGATCTTCTCAGATAGGAACCAGTTGTGTGAATGTTCATTGGCTTAATGACATGTCAAAGATGAATCATTCACATTTCCTGATTGTTGAAATGGAAAACAAAACAGGTGCATTCTGGGATTTTATGTGATCACCATCAAATGTTGATATATCCGTTGTACAGCCTTATATAAACATGTGCCACTTTTGTTTCTTACCTTCCAAACAGTTGGAGCAGAGTTGTTTTTGTTCTATCATGTTATGGGGTTAACTAGAAAAATATTTCATTTGCAGCAGTAGGATTAAATTTGAATTTGAATGCTTGAATTTTGAATTTGTTTTGATTTCAAATGCAAATGTATTTTTTTTTTATCATTTAAAATATCCAGTCACATTTCATTAAAGAAATAACCCTTACTTTTCTTTTTTTTAACCTTTGACCCAAAGGTACGTAATGAGGCCATAGCTGCAGGTTGCCCTCATGCTCGTGAGATGGTGTGGCAGTTTTTTGTCAACAAGTGTGCCAGCAACCTCCATATTGTCCTTGCCATGTCTCCTGTTGGTGACGCCCTTAGAACTCGCTGTAGGAACTTCCCAGGTATGAGGTCATGATGGTGATTTCCAATTTAAGCTCATTAGCATATTCCTATTGAGACAATTTAATGGTAAACAGTAAAATGGGTGTTTCTTCTCAGTATATTTGCAGGAAGGATTTTTCAGATGCGTCCACATATGTAAAATCTGTTTAACAAGTAGGATTGGTTCAGTATTGAATAATGGTTTATCCACAGTAAAATACTGGGAGTCGCAAATTTTAATTTATAACTTAATAATCACATACATTTTGTTACGTTACTTGTTATAAATTTATCAATAACGCAGTTATATGATACTTCATTAAATCAAATGCCTTTACAATATTTATGGAGAAAAAATTATTGCATAATTACTTTCATATATGCGATGCTTTGGTGGATAGTGGAGGGGCATGGTGTCGCCTGCTTGTTTCAGGCCTATACACAGGTCTGACGTTGCTACTGTTCCTCCCCTTGTTCCTACTACTGGGTCCATATTCATGATACCATTCTCATGCTAAACTAAAATTTTGTGCTCAAGCCCAATTTCTTGTTCCGATGATTTAAGATTAATTAATTAAGAGATCACAATTTGTCAACCTTTTTGGAAGAATTTGGGAGAGATGTCAAGCCGCATTCTATTTTAAATGTTCACACTTGACTATCTGACTATGTCACATGCTTTAAGCATTGAGCATGAGAACGGTTTCATGAATATGGGCCCTGGTGTTCCTTCTTGGGTATCTCAATCTTGTTATCATGTTATAAATGTGTATGATAAGTGAATATCAGTGAAAATTTTAGAATTAACAACTGTTCCAAGAAAATGAATGAAGAAAATATACATGGAGATTTTGTGTTATTACCCCACAGGTTTGGTGAACTGTGCCAACATTGATTGGTTCTTCCCCTGGCCAGAGCAGGCCCTGTTGGCAGTCGCAAGTGTCTTCATAGCACCAGATGTAAGNCCCGATCGGACGTGAAAAGGTATGGGGTCACCTGCCCGACCACATGAGTTTTCTCCAGGTAAGCCGGTTTCCTCCCACACTAAGACTCCCCGCTAACATCCAGGCCAACAAGAGTAATTAGTATAATGTGTAAAAACTTGCTTCATAATTGTTGTAAAATAAATGAAGTTTATATATACCAGGAAATTTTCACTATAGTTTAATATTTGTCTTTTCGCCCTCCATGATGAGAGCAAATTTATCATTACAGCGAACATTTGATAACAGCGGAAGATACGACATCAAGATTTTAAAATAAAATAAATTGTGTCTTTGAACACTTTTCTTAAGTGACTTAACATTATAGATAATATATTTGTTGTAGAATAAGCTGATCCCGGATGAGAACAGGGAGAATGTGGTAAGCCACATTGTGCTTGTCCACCAGAGTGTTGGCGAGTACAGCAAAAAGTTCCAGCAGCGCCTCCGTCGTAACAACTATGTGACACCCAAAAACTACCTGGATTTCATCAACACATACCTTCGTCTGTTGGACGAAAAGGACAATTTCATTCTGTCTCAGGTAAAGATAAAAATGTTCATAATTATATAGACATATAAGGCAATATCCAACATCAGAGTACCGATATGTTTTTAGTACCCTATTATTATTACGGATTACTTTTCTCAAACATTCTAAATGTTTAAATTTGTCTTCCGTTCCCATTTTACAGTCACGTGGTCATAGACAAGGCAATGAATATCACATTGCTCATGATCAATGGTTATTTAAGATTGATTTTTTTTGCACATATAATTCCTCTGTCTGCTTCAATTTTCTGTTTGCTTTTGGCGGTAGAAGGTTTTAATAGTTATCATAAAGCCACTCATCTCTGTCATTGTGTTTTGTATTTGTTATCTTAAGATTAAATATAAAGAAAATGGCTATAATCACAACATACTCAAGCATCACCAATAAGTGGGTTTTAAAGTTTAGTCGGCTAAATAAACTTTAAAACTCACTTATTGGTGACACTTTGGTATCCGTACTCAAAGTGAAGCGCCCCACTGATCAACCCACAAACCTACACCTGACGTTGGCTCTCTTACCATACTTAGATTAAATATTATAATTTGATACACATAAAATAAATTCCAGGTTTCTCCATCTTTTTATTTTTGAAAGGATTTTTTTTCTAATTTTATAAACTAAGCAAATTGTCTCCATTTTCACCATACAGTGCGAGCGCCTCAGTGGGGGTCTAATGAAGATTGCTGAGGCTAGCGAACAGCTAGCCATTTTAAACGATCGACTGGCTGTTCAGAAAGTGGCCGTCACAGAGAAAACCCAGTCTTGTGAGATCATGTTGGCAGAAATCTCCAAGAATTCAACCATGGCCACAGAAAAGAAACAGTTAGCTGAGGCCAAGGGAAAGGAAATTGCAGAACAAAGTGTTGTCATCGCCAAGGAGAAGGTAACAGAGTTTAGGATGATTGGTCAACCTTTACACTTATGTATGTTTGATTGTCATTTCTTTATAGTGCTCTAGAATTCATACTTTGTTTTTTGTAATTAAGTGTTGAATTTATATAAAGTACAATAAAAAAAAAATAGAATCAAAAGAAGGTATTACTAAAAAGAAAATTACCACAGACTGCCAAAATACAGATTTTAAATGAAAAGGGTGGTTAAAAATAAATCAGCTTTTCGGAGTGTTAACTTCTAGATTGCTAAAATACATTCCTCCCACAAAAGAGAGAGGGGTGCTAATTACGGTGAATATGGTATATTTTATAGACTAAAGCTGTTGAAAGTTGCATAGCAACCATGCTTTTTGTATGGAATCCATCCGGTGGATTACCAAAATTTAGATCGCTAAATTTTTTCTAACATCTATTTCATGATGAAAATGACAGTAAATTACCATAATAAGCTCACCCAAATCTATTGTAGTTCAGTAGAAATGTAAACAAGCACTGTTTTATTGCCCTGTTATAAGCCCATTAGTGAGAAATTATGTGTTGACCCCTTGGGCTTATTGCAGGATATAGCAGTTGTCAAAATAAAAACCCATCTTCAGTAATATAAAAAAAATGTTGGTGTTGGGTGTTGTAGAAAGAAGCAGAGGATGCCCTAGCGGAGGCTTTGCCTGCCCTTGAAGCTGCCCGTATAGCTCTAGAGGATCTGGACAAGTCTGACGTTACAGAAATCAGGTCATTCTCAAAGCCTCCCCCAGAGGTACAGCGAGTGTGCGAGTGTATCGTGGTATTGCGGGGAATCAAAGAGGTATCATGGAAGTCAGCCAGGGGCATGATGGCCGAGGGAAACTTCCTCAAGGCTCTCCAAGAGATGGACGTCGACGCCATAACTACCAGGCAAACACAGGCTGTCAAAGGTTAGTGGTGGGCAAAGACAAATCGGTAACATTGCCTTTCACCAAGGCTGCCGGGGTTCGATTTCCTGATCGGACGTAAAAAAAAGTATGGGGTCAACTGACCGACCACGTGGGTTTTCTCTGGGTACTATGCCTATGGTTTCAAACAGTTGCACCAAATACAATTTTACACCAAATAATATGTACTTGAGTCATTAATGTGAAAATTTCAACAACAACAAAAACCAGATTAGTAGTTTGAGGAATGTGTAGTATTAGACAAATACAAGGCTACTTTGACAGTTTATTGATCAATGGAATAGCAGAAAAGCTTGAGCTCTGTCATTGTTGCAGACAGTATAAGAATAGGAGTCTGATAAAGAGGACAACATTAATAACAGAGATTGAAAACTGCTCAACAATAAAAACATATTTAACACCATCTGTATTTAGAATAGGAATTAAATAAAGAAACTGTATTGGTAAAGTACATGTATCATTTAGGCCTATGTCTAACAGACTTTATTTGTTTATGTTAATTTTTCCGAATAACAAAAAGAAAGAAACTGCTACATATTTCTGAAATGAACAAAATTTTGAACCCATGTTATTATAATGCTGATTGATAACAAAATTAACATTAAAAATGTACTCAATTTAAATGAACACCTCCATTAAACATATCTACAACAGGGTAGCAGTAGAGGTACTTAATGAGTTAAACCTCTGATTATCTGACCACTGGTCAACACCTGTGTAACTGGTGCCTCAAGGCTTTTTGATGGCACGCAGAAAGTGTAATAGCTAGGCAGGTGTGACTATACCTGTTACAAATCAACCTATAGGATAAATACTGAAGATTTGAGCGGTTGGGGATAAATAAGATTTTGAGGAATATAGGGTACTCAGGCAATGGCGGTTTGAATAATCTGAGGCTACTTTAAAAAGAATGTGATTATTGGGGCCAAGCAATTCAAACTACTTGAGAAAAGGGAGGATGGATCAATTAATGTGAGTTCCAGAAGGTGGCACTGTACTTGGAAACCTTGTTTTCAGGTCTGATGAGTGACAAGACGATGACTCTGTCTTTGGATACCATGAAGAACATTAGTAAGGCCGGTTCTGGGCTGCTCAAGTTTGTGGAAGCTGTGATGGGATACTGTGTGGTTGCCAGGGAAATCAAACCAAAGAGGGACAAGGTGGGTGTCACATGGCAAACACATCAGCTTGGCTGGGTTCTATATCACATCAACAGAGATTATGACTTGTCCCCACCAGAGGGGACTATAGATTTACACTCTGTCCATGATAAGCCAATACCAATTTATCGGTCCATCTGTGCATCACTTGTTCTTGGGTATATATCTTGTACACTCCGCTCTGTAGCTTGAACTCATAAACCCTTTCACCAATAAAGACCATAATGGGCTCATCCAGATCATTGCTTGGTAGAGTTTACTTAAGTTACGTAGGGGTGAAAGGGTTAAACTTTGTATGCAGATACCTTTTGGAATGGCAGAATGTTCCATACTGAAACAGTATGACCTTGGCAGCCCTGAAATACGAACTTGTATGAAGTAATAATTTAATTTTGGCTAGGCTTTTTCAGGTTAAATCATATAACCTCAAAAAAAACCTGACAACACAAAAAGTGATGAGGTCCCAATGTTTGGCGCGGTATTTGTAATTCTAACTTCTGATTGGTTGAATTTGCTTGTCAATTACCTCGTAATGTTGTGTTTTGTGCAAAATTATTTTCTTTTGTCAGAATTGAATAAATAATTCACTATGAATAAAAAAAATGTGTCTGACTGTTACAATTAAATTATAAGGGATATATCCTGTATAATTATATAACCAGGATTATTTTTGGGGTTATACAGTATATACCGAAAAAACTGTGTTCACTTTTACGGATTTATGCAAAGTACAAACAACTTTTTCGGCATATACCGTATGACCCAAAAATAATCCTGGTTGTTCCTTAGTTCTGATACTTGACCTTTGTATAAACTTTTATGAAAATCTGTTATGATATGTAACCAGCAGAATCAAGACAACAAATTGGGATAAAATGGAAAATAACGGATATCGGTAAAACCAGAGGCCTTCTCCCTACCCCAAACCCCCATTCATCTATCGGCCGGGATCCCCTTTCCCAATATTGCAGAATGATCACAACAATAAATTTGGATAAGATGGGATGTAACAGATATCGGTTAAATCAGAAGCCTCCCCCAATCCCCCCACCCCCCAC